TTATATTCTGAGAAAATCTTCACTGAGTTGGGTTTTGTTAAATGCAACCTCTTCAAAATGACCTTTTAAGAACTATTTTTCTAACTCCTTAAACCCGTTTTAGAAAACCCTTCAAGTGTCTTCTAGTCACATTAGGATCATCTGAAACAAAAGGGATATTGACAGAACTGCTGTTGTAAGTACTCTCTGCATAATCATTTTTCAACTAGAGGCAAATATTAAAGTTCATAGTACATGGTTACTAACCCTTTGTCAGGTGTAACATTTTGGGGAAGACAACACATTAGGAATCCAAGTGCCTAAATCTGATTCCAGAGAAATGTTGTGAAACAGACAATCCAGAAATAGAAAACTGCTTATGAAAATTAGATAAGAGGGTAGAATATCTGGAAATGTAACAGAATCAAATCTATTTTTTTTCTCAGATGTCTTTCTTGTTCGTTTGTGCCACTGAAGAACCCAACCCCAAAGGCTGGATAAAAGAATTCGAAAAAAAAAAAAAAAGGTCTTAACTGTACCAAAGAGGTCACTTGGAAAATAAGAAGAAAAAGCATTACTACACATAGAAAATGAGAGTAAATTATATCCAGATATTTCCTTTAAATTCTCAGAAAGTAGTAATTTAATTATTTCTAATGACCATAGCCTTTCTTTGGGCTAGTTACAATATACATAATTCTATTAAGCTTTCTTTATTCTCTGAATAAAGTATACCTTACATAGTAGCATGAATTTTCCTTTGGACCTAAGCTTAAGTTATCATTCCCCCTATAACTAGTTCCTGAAGGTACCAGGCATTTTCAAACCAAACCAAAACCACCTCAGCACAGGATTCAAGGCTCCATAAATTTGACTCAACCCACTGAAGCTTTACCATCCTAGAGGCAGTGTGCACTGAACCACATGTTCTAGTGCAATCAAGTCTGATTTTCATCTCTTGACTCTAAATGGTGTACATAAGATACCTATACTGGTCTGCCTCTTTTTAGTAATATCTTCATCAAAAATTATGTTCTCTTTAAAACACATGAAAACAAAACAAAGGCAACAAAAGAAAAAATAAGTTGTGCTTCATCGAAATTAAAAACTTTTGTGCTTCAAAGGATATCAACAGAGTGAAAATGCGACCCACGAATGAAAAAATATTGGCAACTCATATATCTGGTAAGGGATTATGTGCAACTCATATAATTTGATAAGAGATTAATATCCAGGAAATATAAAGAACTACAACTCAATAATAATAAAAAAAACCCTTAACTTAAAAAATGGACAAAACGTGAGTAAAAATTTTGACAAAAAAGATACACATATAATCAATAAGCACATGAACAGATGGATTCAACATCATGGAGAAATGCATTACTGGGAAGTGCAAATCAAAACCACAGTGACATACCACTTCATCCATTAGGAGAGCTAATATCAAAAACAAAAGTAACAATTGTTGGTGAGGATGTGGAGAAACTGGAACCTTTATGAACTGGTGGTAGGAATGTAAAATGATACAGCTCCTAAGAAAGATAGTATGGCAGTTCCTCAAAAAATTAAACATAACAATTTCCTTTGTGGGTATATACACAAAAGAATTAAAAGCAAGTACTTGAACAGATATTTGTACACCAATGTACACAGTAGCATTGTTGGCAATTGTCAAAATGTGAAAACAATTCAAATGTCCTCTGATGAAACAAAATATGGTACATACATACAACAGAATAGTATTCAGTCTTAAAAAATAAAACGGATACATGCAATAACAGGGATGAACCTCAAAAACATTTGCTCAGTGAAGTCAGACACAAAAGGACAAATACTATGAGTCCAATTATAAGAGCTACTTAGAATAGTCAAATTTGGAGACAGAAAGCAGAATGGTGGTTACCAGAGACTCAGAAGAGAGAGGAATGGGGAATTAGTGGTTAATAAACACAGAGATTCTGTTTGGGATGATGGAAAAGTTCTGGAGGTGGACAGTGGTGACAGTTGCACAACAATGTGAATGTGTTATTACTAAACTGTATACCTAAAATGGTTAAAATGACAAATTTTACTTTATGTATATTTTAACAATAAAGATTCAGTGGAAAACTCCTAATGCCATTATACTTCTCAATATTTAATACAGACTATAACTAATTATTATACTTGATTTGTTGGTTGGGTATGAGTCTTTCTATAAAGTTAGAAAAACTTAAACTTAGGCACTTTTTAAAAGATATCTTTAAATGCTGACCAGTGCTTGATATTTGAGCTATAAAATAAAAATTAAGCAATTTACCAAAGAAAAGGAACACTTGAGGAACTATATTGTATATTCTTATTCTGTTCACTAATTTTTGTCTATTGATCTGCTTTACGTTGTAGTAGTTTCCTTCATCACAAAACTCTTTTATCCAAAACAGCTAAACTTTTGAAGTTAATAATAATATAAATGGAATGGTGGCATATACATTCAAATGCTAGCCCTGAACTACAGACTTTTTGGTATAAACAACAGGAAAAAGAGGAAGGTATTGCCTTGTGAGTCTAAGACATACATGCATTTCTAGGTCTAAAATAGAAAATGAAACATCTAAATTTAACTTGTAAAAACTGAAAGTAGTATTATGGCATACATTATAAAAGTGCAAGAATTTCATATAATAAATCCATGTTTTATCAAAAAGCACTCTTCCAAGGATCACTGCATAAATCTCAGAAATTCTGATCCCATATTACCACTTGTAAGATGGACTATTATTGGCTATACAGACTTAGTAAAGACAAACTAAAACCAGTATCACTATTTCTAAATCAAATGACATGCATAAATATCAAAGTATATCTAAATTTTAAAATGATCATTAAATAAACATGAAGACTTACAGAAAACAAATAAATTACATGGATGGAAGCAAGTGACTAGATACAAGCATGGAGGAATCTGGGCATACAACTAACATAAATCAACAAAATGATATTGCTATTTTTAAAACAATGTAGTATTGTAACAGATAAATGCAAATAGTTTAAGAGCTAAGATAAATTAATATTTGAAGTTCCATATTTTAAGACAGATCATAACAAAGGGTCCCAGTCATTCTAATCTTGCTTCTGTATCCCAGAATATGGCTGGTACTTAAAAACATGTTGGCTAAATGAAGATCATTAAATAACCTGGAACCATTTAGTAGCTAGGGAAGTCCAGAGCCAAACATAAACCTGAATTTAAAAGATGTGTCATATATTATTTTAGTCATGACCTTTAACCTTAAAATTCTGTGGAAAATAATGATGGATACTTCAACTCCTAAAGCAGTGCATGTAAACTGAAATCAGAAAACTCTTGTATCAGAGTTTAAGGAAGGTCAAAATATTGAGGCAATAAAGTAAGGAGTTACAATCTTTCCAGAGGTAAAAATGGCAGCTCTAACAATCTTGAAAGATGGGCATATTAAGAAGGTCCACAAGGCACAAAGTTAAGATAATTTAAGTGAAAAAGTCAAGGATGGAAAAATGACAAGCTTTGGTATGTGAAACATTATTGTGAGCCAATTTTTCCTGGTTACCAGGGTAGAATGTGAGTCAGATTGCCCTTTTATGAAGTTATCAGAACATCTGCAGAATCCACTGAGCTTCTGAAATGTACTAGAATACTGTCATTCTACATGAGAAACTAATTAGAACATTTGATATATAATCTAATTTTAAAAAGAAAATGCTAAACTTCTGTTCATTTAGAATAAATTTAAGAAAGAAACTTATCTACCAGTGTAGTATAGCTCCTTATTTAAATGTTTTCCCTTATCTTACTAAAGATATCTAAGTTTTGGTTTACTAATCAGTTCAGTAAATACCAAAGGCAGTAATTTCTTATACTTCAGCTTTAAGTTTTAGACTCAAAAAACAAAACAAAACAAAACACCTAATTCTGCTCTGGCTAGTATGGCTCAGTGGATTGAGTACAGGCCTTTGAACCAAATGTCACCAGTTTGATTCCCAGTCAAGGCACATGCCTGGGTTGCATTCCAGGTCCCCAGCAGGGGACACGAAAGAGGCAACCACACACTGATGTTTCTCTCCTTCTCCCTCTCTTTCCATCTAAAAATAAATACATAAAATATTTACAGAAAGGTTAAAAAACTAATTGTATTCATCACACATACATAGAATGTGATGCTTCTGTAACTAAAAAGTTTTTCTCTTCACTTCCAACATCACTATTCAATAAGGTGACCAAAACTGAGACAAAAAAATGATTGGCATTTTTCATCAGAATACTAACATTGAAACTCTTTCCTATTAATAATTAGGAGTGAGAGCTCCAATACAGCCTAAGATACTTTGTAAGTGGTAATCCTAGTTCTTTAAATAAACTCTTATTATACAAAATTCCCTTTCCTGGCAAGATCGGAAGAAATCACTACCTGCCTTTAAAAACAGCAATAAAAAGGTAAATTAAAATATTACTATAAATTGAGAAGACACACCTGGCTTTTTCTATTCTCAGTTTTATCACTTGTTTAATAATAATCTTTTAATAGTTTTCATGTTAAAAATTAGTAAGAAGCTTTTAAAAGGACAATTAACATCTTGATTTATGGTAACTGCTCTGTAATGTTACTTTAAAATAAGAATATGTATTTGAATAAATGCACTTAGAATACAGTTCTTTAAAGAACATTAGCATTTCAACAGTGAAATTAATCTATGACAATGAAAATGTAGCTTCTTTAGGAAAAAGAAACTAAACACGATAGAACAAAAGCAATGACTGAAAATCTTGATTTGTTTTCAAAAGGGTTGATTTAATTTTTCCACAGAATTAACAATCATCATTGCTTCCATATCAAAAGAGGTATAATTTAGGAGAAAGAGTAAATCCATGAGAATTTTGTAATTTTTCCTAACCACTTTTCATTTTAAGATGTGATGAGTTATGGGTCTAATGGAGATAATTTTCAGAAAATATACCAAAAAAATTCCATGTTAAATAACAACAGTGGACCTTAAAGGCATGAGCTTTTGTCACTTTATTGTTAACCAATGAATGTTATCCAAAATTATAGCTGTAACTGTAACTTAATTGTACAACACAAAATTATACTAATGGTAAACGCCTGGTGGAATTTACCAAACACTCATTAATATATCTTTACATTGCTATATGAACATGTGCTCTCAACTGCTAATAATAAAAGTTATAATTGGTTTAATCACTATGAAAATCCATATTGCAAATAGTTGTTCCTGTTTAGGAAAATTCACACAGCTTTAAAAATGGATTAACTCCATTTTAATCTACAAATAGAGTATAAACAGCAAATATAACTGGTACTTTTTCAACACTGATACCAAACTGATGTAGCAATGGTAGTGCACACAATTCAAAACAAAGAAAATACAAAACCAAAGGCAGTCCACATTTTCACCTGTTATGGCAATTGCTTTAATGCTTTGGAAGAGGGAACACTTATGCTTTAAAGGATGAACGCAGGGTCCACCAAGTATTCCCCTACTGTGCTGAAAGTAGGAACATTCTCTTCAATAGTGTTTTGAAGCATGTATACACCCACTGTACAACAGTCACTTCAAAGTTAACCAGTTATATTTTGTCCTAGAAAATCCAAAAAATATATTAAATGTAATCTTTCCTTTTCATAATGTCTGCCCAGATTAATCCTTTTAAAGTCAGCAAAATCAAAAAGCATAAGAGATATTTTCAGACACAACTTGAATCTACTGTGCATGAAAAAATGTCTTAACAAAATGGCAATTTCAATAGGTAAATGTCAATCTGAATGCATAATACCAAATGAAAAATAGCTGAACCACACAGAGAAAACAAGGCTTTCCTTATCTCCAAATTCAGATGTTTTACAATAAAGAAAATGTTAGAACATGTGAGTATTAAAACATCTTTCAAAATGGAAAGATTTCTTCTAAAGACATAATTGAACTTAATATTTATTACCTAAAATTATAATTTATAAAACAGAATTAACAAACCAAATTTAAGTACTCTTAGTTAGAGACTGAAAAAAAAATAAGCACAATGATTTAGGAACCAAATGTGCTAAAATGATTATGTAACAATTACACCAAGAAATGAAGGCACAGACTCTTCATTTGCTACAAGGGCAATCTCTCTCTCTCTCTCTCTCTCTCTCACACACACACACACACATACACACACACAATATCCTCAGACATTCAACAACACCTCTCCAGGAAGATGTATACCAGTGAGAGTTTATAATTTTGATACAGAGTCCCACAATTCAGCTCAACAAAAAGGCAGTTAAAAATTTAGCACTCTGAAATATTTTGAAAGGAAAGGCAATCTCAAACATAGCTGTTCATGATTGAAAGTCTTACTATGCATCATAAAACATATAATTTGAATACTCCACTGTGTTGCACAACCAGTCACCACAGGTGTAGTAGTGAGGTAGTATTACTGTCCCCTCGTGGGACTGATGTTTTCATATGCTGCTCTTCCAGAAAGGTCCAGGGTTTTTAGTGATTATAATCAATTACCAATAAGCATCTATTTTCTTTTATTAAATGTCTGACTGTAAACCAATCTGTGAAAAAGAGAAACTTTTAAAATCTTTCAGAAAACTGTTATTTGCAGGTAGTATGTCATCAATAAACTCTTCTAGGGAACTACTACCTGCTCTCTACACCTCTGTGAATCTGCAGGCAAAGAAAACCAAAGGATGACAGAAGATGAAATACTAATCAATTCAGCTGTCAAAGATGACTACAATCAAGAAATCAAGGATCACGTATCCAATAATGTAGTAAAACTGGGATTAAAAAATTAACCACCAGCTGCACACTACAGTGTTAAAACTTTCTTTTTCATGATTCACAGCCATCTTCTACACAATTACCAAAGACTGTCCACCTGTGACCTATCCGCCTTTTAACAATGACAATGATCTGCATGGTGGCAGAATTGTGGTTCTGGGCACTGCAAGATATGAGAGGGGCACACTGAGAAAATATAATGACAGAGACTGTGAAATACATGCAGGCAAAATAAAGAAGGGGCAAGGGAAAACAGAGTTCTCAACCTGAACACTCATTAAATCGTCATCATCCTTTAAAATGTAACAAAGTGCTTAAATCACACATAGACATTTGTCAGACATGATAATTAGTGTTAATCTTCAACAAAAAATATGGAAAATGCAAAATATGAAAGGAGGTGATGAACACTGTTCTCCATTCCCTGGCTCAAATGAGAAAGACAACCAAGCATGATGTCACACTGCCTTAATGTTGAAGACCTCCCTTAAATATGTCTTTTAGCCACCACAGTCAAACTGGTATGAGTGCTTTGGCAAGGTGGGATGCATTCCATCACATCTGCAAAGGCCTGCTTTTCTCTGTTGGTGGTTCAGCTTATGAAGAACATGTATGCAAAATAACAGCTCTCACATTGCTTCAAACTCATCAATACGCTGCTTTGTATTGCCTTGTCGAATCTGTCGCAGAGTCTTGTATTTATCACGTCCTGCTTTAACATTCTCAGCGTGAAGAACGTCATTTTGTGTTTTCTTGGTTTCATCTCTGGCTTGGGCTAATTCTGAACTTAATACCTATATTTAAAAAATAAAAAAGGAGTAACTATTATTTTTTCTTGAATTTTAAAAACTTATACAAAAATATACATATAAAAAATATACATATAAGAAATTTCTTCATATATTTAAAATTCCAGTGTAAAATCTTTAAAGTGTATTACTTTGTTTTACTTTTAGTTATTGTGTGGGGTTAGTGGTTAGGAAGAAATACCCATGGCCTTTCATTTCTACACCCATCAACTATTATGATTTTGTGTATTAATCTAAATTTCCTTAACTTTCTCATGATATTGAAATGATTTACCAACAAATTTTTAATGTGGCCATTACAGAATAATGTTATGGTAAGATTTAAAAACAACCCTACACCCAGTCAGGGCACATGCCTGGGTTGCAGGCAGGTTCCCTGCAGGTCAGTTCCCTGCAGGGGATGCACTAGAGGCAACCATACATTGATGTTTCTCTCCCTCTCTCCTTCCCCTCTAAAGATAAATAAATAAAATCTTAAAAAAAAATTTCTCATCTCTTAAAAAAAAACACAAAAAAACAACACTATACCCTGAGAGGAGCTTCCTCCAAAAGTTTTAATGTGGTTATTACAAGTATCAGGTCATTTTCTTTTATCAATATCTAAAGATTTCACCAATTAAAAAATTAGAAAAAAATGGGAAAAAGGTCCAGGAATATTAAAATTTCCTATTTTGATCTAATTGCGTAATTAGATCAATAATAATTCACATGATGTAATGTCACACAGGTAGTCAAATCATCACTGTTTTTTAAGACCCTTCTTTAAAAAACTAAATTCATTTGTTTTTTAAACACAGCATGAAAATACTCTTATTTTAAAACATGGGTCAAGTTATAATTAAAGAATAACTCACTAGTTAAGGCCTGATTACATAAAGTTAATAAGCATTTGCTAATGGAGTCACGTAACAAAAGAAATGAAATGATGTGTGTGTGTAGGCCAAGCACTCACAGACCAGTCAATCGCAAGGCCAGCTAGTGTTGCAGCTTCCAAAGGTCAAATGTTCCTTTCTAATAAATGAGGAAAATGCAAACTATATTTTAAATATTCATACAACTGCAAATTTTAAATACCTGGAGTTGCTTTTTGACACGCTCATTTTTCTGTGTTTCTGTTACACGTTCCTCCTCACTTCTGTGGTTCATGATGCCATCATTCGATAATTCAGCACTAGCCTCAGCATTATTTTCATCATGTTCATCATGTTCATTTTCAGTTGGAGGAATGACTGGTGGTGGTGGAGGTGGAGGCGGGGCAGACATTACATTTTTTAATTCTTCTTTGGTCTTTTCCAAGTCTTCCTGGGCTGCATAAGCCTGAATGTTAAAAATATGTTTATCAGCAACTTTAAAAATTAGTAATTTAAAGTACCAAGTAATGCTTTCTAATTGAAACTGTATTTCAGGCAATGAAAATAGGCCCTACTGATGAAAGTTCTACTTTAATAGAAGAATGCCAACAGGTAGGAGTGACAGAATTTTAAGAACATTACTTTGAAAACCTTAATAAAATTAGTAATTCTGCCAAGGATTATCAGTTGCTGCTAAAATTGTTCTGCAAACTGTTGATAAGAAATGGTATTTGTATAATACCAAAGAATAACACACCTAATAGACTACATTTAAACCACAAGGAGGAAAATGAAACCAGACAATGGAGGAATCAGACTGTAATTACTCTAGTCCAATAATCAATTAAAATCATCAGTGGTGAGTTTACTAGATATTAAGTGTCATCTGGAAGGATAAAACAGGAAGTATCCCAACAGCACCAATTATTTGGTTGATCCTATTGTTCAGGCACACCTCAAAAGTTCTGCTTTATACTGCTGTCCTGATGTAATTATTAATAGCACTCCCTCGTTTTCACTTTAAAAAATATTCTAATTTGGATGATAAACTATATGCAAGTCTCACTTATAAGCCATTATTGTCAAAAATTTTTAACTTATATCCTTCACACTTTTAGGTCTATCTCCCACTTTACAGGAGATATTGATGATAAAAGAATAAGCTGAATGATACCATGAAAAAGCAACTAGACAAATAAAGGAAGAGGGAAAATCTGGGTGCTTGCAGTAATTCAATATCATAAAAAGAACTATCCTACTTTAATGTGGACTTAAAGCAAACAGATGCAATGAAAGTCCTACTTTGGATACTGGCCTGGCAAATTAGCTATAAAAAAGTTTTGGGATCAATTTTTAATATAGTCTGCCAGAAATAAATCCACACATGTATGTTCAATTAATTTATGAGAAAGCAGCCAGGAATATACAATGAAGAAAGGACAGTACTTCAATAAATGATGTTGGAGCAATTGGATAGCCACATACAAAAGAATGAAACTGGACCACTGTGTTATACCATACACAGAAGTCAATTCAAAATGGATCAAAGACTTGAAACTAAGACATAAAACCATAAAACTCCTAGAAGAAATCATAGGCAGCAAGGTCCCCGACATTGGCCTTGGCAATGATTTTTTGTATTTGACACCAACAGCAAAGGCAACAAAACAGAACAAGTAGAACTACATCAAACTAAAAAACTTCTGCACAGCAAAGGAAACCATCAACAAAACAAGAAGGCAACCTACCATATGGGAGAAAATATTTACAAATCAGCTGTCTGATAAGGAGTTAATATTCAAAATATATTGAAAAACTCATACAACACAACTCAATAGTTAAAAAGCCAAACAACCCAATTAAAAAATGGGCAGAGAACTAAATAGATATTTTTCTAAAGATGACAGATGACTAATAGGTACATGAAAAGGTGCTCAGCATCACTGATCACCAAAGAAATGAACATCAAATCACAGTGAGATATTACCTCACGCCAGTTAGAATGGCTATTACCAAAATAATAACAAGTAAGTGTTGGTAAGGATGAATGTATTGCTGGTGGGACTGTAAATTGGTGCAGCCACTATGGAAAACAGTATGGAGATTCTTCAAAAAATTAAAAATAGAATGGCCATATAATTCAGCAATTCTACTTCTGGGTATTTAAACAAAGGAAACAAAAACACTAACCTGGATAGATAGACCTGTCCCCATATGCACTGTAGCATATTTACAATAGCCAAGATATGAAAGCAACCTGAGGTCTACTAATGAATAAATGGAAAAAGAGAAAGTGGTGTGTGTGTACAAATATACCTACACACACACACACACACACACACGAATATTATTCAGCCATAAAAAAAAGGAAGGAAATCTTGCCACTTGTAACATCATGGATGGACCCTGAGAGCATTAAGCCAAGTGAAGTAAGCCAGAGAAAGACAAGTATTACATGCTTTCCCCTACATGTGGAATGTAAAAACAAAACAACTGAGCTTATGTAAACAGAGAATAGACTGGTGGTCACCATAGGAGGCAAGGGTGGGCAAAATATGACAGAAGGAATAATGAGTACAAATTCCCAGCCATAAAATAAATCATGGGATATAATGTACAGCATGAAAACTGTACCTAATAATACTATATTGCATATTTGAAAGTCACTAAGAGAATTAAAAGTTTTCATCACAAGGAAAAAAATTTGTAGCTATGTATGGTGACTTATTGTGATAACCATTCACAATGTATAAAAATATGAATTACAGTCATCCCTTGCTATATTGCAGTTCACTTTATTGCAGCTTCACTGTATCATGTGTTTTTAAAGACCGTGATATAGGGAGGAGCGACTACTTCACCGGTGAGTACCCATATAGAATTTTGTAAGTTGTTAAAATTACATAGTGTAGAAAGTGTTTAATAGTACATGAAGTGTTTATAAGAGTGTGGGAAAGGTTAATAAGAGAGTGAGAAAGGTTTATAGGAGTGTGGGAAGGGTTTATAAAGCCTTAAAAAATATATAAATAATAAAATAAATATAACGCCACCACTTCAGGGATTTTCACCTATCGTGGGGGTCTCTGGAACATAACTCCAGTTAAAAGTGAGGAATCACTGTATTATGTTATACACCTAAAACTAACAGAATGTCAATTATGTCTAAATTTTTGAAGACAGTCTAATAATAGATGAGATGAAAACTAAGATGAAACAGTATATACAATATGACCTCACCGTGAACACATAAATGTGTATAATACACATATGCAAACAGGAAAAGACCCTCAAAGGATATGCAATGAATTGTGACAATACTGATCCTAGTTTGTGGGAATGTGATTCCTTGTGTAAATTTTCTAATTTCCATAATTAACAGGATTTACTCCTGTAATGTGTTATTCTTAAGTTTATGTGTCTCTATAAAACTCTAATAAGGAAAACAGTGTAACAGTAGGTTAATGCAGTTTTATCCCTTTGTACAGTGATATGTATGAAATTTAAACTGGTACAAAAAATTTAAGAATGAAAGAAACCATATTCATTTTATTGTAGAAAAATTGTAAGTATACATTGAAGAATTAATGCTATTTAAAGTCTGAATTAAGCTCTCATTATCTTACATTTGGTACCCCTTCTACTAAGCCTTAGTTTTCTCTTGTGTGCTATTTCAGACAGTACTGGTTTTATCCACTTAAGAACTCATGTCAGAAATCCCAGTATCATCTTCATTGCATCCCTGTAATTTAACTTTATATCCAATCATCTGGTTGTCATGCCCTTTTGAATCTACCACAAAAAATGTCTCTCACAATTCGTTATTTCCTCTTTATTCTCACTGCCACATCCTTAGTTTGTGTCTTTAGCTCTAAAGTAATCCTACCCACTATTCTAATTCATCCTTCACACTGACTACTAAGTTATGTTTATAAAACCATACCTGATTATGTTACATATAATCCCATTTTGAAATCTTCAGAACGCAATGTCTACAGATACTCTCCATCACCTTGCCTTAGTAGGGCATTTTTGTAATACCTTTCACAACTTAACTTCCTCTCTAACCTTCCAGATACATCTCCCAAAATTTCTGAACTGCTTGCTTACTGGCTATCCTCAAATCTGTCATGTACTTTCATACTTCCTACACTCATTTATTTCCCTCCATCTGGAATGACTTCCTCTTCAGTCTTTAAACATTCACAATCTTTTCTATGCCAAAGCTGACTTTATTATTCAAGACCCAGCTTAAACTTACAAGAGCTTCCCCAACACCTGCTTCAATCACCTCTCCTGTTCCCCCAAAATACTTAGCTTACATCAATAGATTAATAATTACTATAATACACAAATATCTTCCTCCTCTAAACTATTACAGTACTCTATATTCATCTCCATAAATTCAGCATATTGGAGTACAAACTAGTATTTCAATAAATAATAGTGAATGAACAAATAAATAATTACTTTTTGTTGCCACTCATTAGCTTCCTCTTCCTTTTTCCTCTTGGCTACTTCTAGGAGTGTAATCCTGGCAGTGAATTCAGCAAGTTCTGCTGCCTAAAATAGATAATAGAATTACCAAAACAAAACAATATATGTTCATTAATTTTTATTAAGTCAATAAAGCTTTCATATATATGCTCAGGCTGTTTTATGTTTTTCTTAGATAGTCCTCCATTTTTAAAAAGGTAGTATTTCTTTAAAATCATAAATATCTCCTTTACAGTAGGCTAATGAGCTAATAAGAAAAGTGAAAGAATATTTATTATTCTGCAGACAAGAACTTATTCATGTTTCAGTAGAAGGAACTTAAAATGTGGTGACTTAGAAGCTATTTTTTAACTTTTATCAATTAAGTATTTGCTAAAGCCTTCAAAAAAAGAAAAACTGTATTTACATAATGCTTCGTGGTTTAAAGACCACTTTGTCAAATAATCACATTTGATTTCCCAATAATCCTATCAGATAGAATTATTGTTCTTCTCAAAAAGAGAGATCCGAGGCTCAGAAAGACCCAAAGACAAGTAAATGCCTGAACCATCTTCCAAATGTCATGCCTAGTCCTTATTATTTGCAAGTCCACTAAACAAAAACCCAATAATTTATGGCCTACGGATAGCTTATGGGAGCTACAATATGGTATCAATTTATCTAAAGCAAAACATGCCAGTTGCTTATGTAAAGTTCAAATGAATCAGAATCTTTTGTCAGTGACAGGCTTCATTTATCTTTTATTCTGTTTCACTTTTAGATTTATCTCTACACTCTGTGATTAAGTTACTTGTATCTTCAGTTTACTTTCCAGAAGGCATAATAATATACTTAGTTTTACAAGTTAACTCCATGCTTTTGTGTAAATTTTTTTTCTTCTCAAGGTAGAACAAAGGTTCCTTACTAGCTGTTCCTGATTCTTCATCTGGTCAGCAGCTTGTTTAGCAATAGCTGACTTGGCCTCTTCAGCAGCTTGACGCTCCTTTTCAAGCCTTTCTGCTTCCTCTTTTGCTCGTTTTCGTTCCTGGTCCAGTTCTAGGGCTTTTCGAGTCTGTTCTTCCAGTTCTGTCAAAAATATGTATGCCCCCCTAATAATTAATTCCAATTATATTCATTATCAAAAGAAGCCAAAATAGTAGCAAGGAATCTAACCTATCCAGTTTCTAAAAATTAGCACATTTACAAATGAACATATACTCATTTTTTAAAATCCTCACCCAAGGATTTATTTACTGATTTGTGAGAGAGAGAGGGGGACAGAGACCCACGTGAGAGAGAAACATAGATCTGTTGCCTCCTATATGCAACTGGGGATCATACCCACAACCTGGGTATGTGCCCAGGAATGACCAGGAATTGAAACTGCAACCTTCTGATGCACAGGATGATGCTCCAACCAATTGAGCCACCTGGCCAGGGCATATACCTCATTTTTAACTTAACAAAAGCCTAATAAATTTTTTAAGATCTATTTCACTATTTAAAAATGCAAAGAAGTTAAAATCTACATAACTTTTTAAAAAATAATCTCTCCAAAGTTTTTAAAAAAGTTTTTAGTGAATTTACTGGGGTGACATTGGTTAATAAAATTATATAGGTTTCAAGTGTACTATTCTATATCACCTGTATATTATACATATTGTGTGTTCACCACTCCAAGTCCTAACTCCTTCCATCACCATTTATCTCCCATACCCTCTTCCCAGTAGAGTGGAACAGAGGTGGGACAGAATGCAGAGCCTGAGGCCTACAGTGTTCTACCAGGCTGAGAAGACAGGAATTTAAATTTTGGGACAATCAAGGCATCCAAGGCTGGAGATGCCAAGATCATTCATTAAGAGGAGTGAACAGACAAGCCCAAATCTGTCTGCTACTTCCCCGCAATATGGTTGCCACCTCCTAAAATGTACTTCCATTCAGGGTTAGACACTAGTAAACAAGGAAGAAGTCGTTGGAAGAGGCTGAACAGCTTAGCAGAGAGATTGTCACTCCTGCAACTGGGGAGTCTAAAGGCTGGAGTTCAGGGCCCTCTGACACAGAAGGGCCCTCATAAACACAGTCTTTTTCAGATGACACACCCAAGGGGCTACAGACTACCAGCGAATGAAAACCAGAGAGAGACCAACTAACAAAGCCTGAAACCCAGTTCAACTTCATCAACATGATCTGTACACATTCTGCCATTCAAAACAAAATTAAGTCCTCTCTAAAGGAAAATAACATCTCCCAGAGTAAAACTTTCCATATATGCTGGGCATTCAACCAAAATTACCAGGAGATGGGACCAAATGACCCCCCTCTAACCAGCCAAAAAATAAACTATAGACTAGACCCAGATATTATCCAGTATTACAATGGATTATACAGTAAAGTTAGCAAATAAGGATGTTAAAATAATTATGATGACTACTTATCTAGGAGAGCTGGGAAATAAGCAAATCACAAGGGAAAAATCGAAGTCCAGAGGCATATGGACAATAATGAGGAAACTGATCTTTAGGCATCTTACAAATCCCCTGCAAGGTGTCTGAGGGCCAGAGTCCCCTTTATAATTAATTATGAAAGTTCAACCTATCAATCTTTACCTTTGTTTTACCCCCAATATTTAGGTCTATAATCCAAAGCCCCTCCACAGAGAAATATCTTCTAAAAATTCATGAGGTCTTCGACAGAGACCCAAATACACTACTAATTTTATTTTAGCAAAACAGTGAGACACTGGAATCATGCACTGAACCCCTCCCCTCAAAAAAAGACATAAAACATTTACAACCACCAAATAATCGACAAAACTGCCAGTGTAAAGAGCATGGGCTCTCCTCCTGTGCCGAGGAGGGAAGGTTAAGGAAATAACATCTGAAAAGGCCAGACTTGGGGGGTAGGGGGACCCAACAAAAAAGCTGCATTCAGAGACTGTTATGACATCTTCAGCACACAAAAGTTTGCAGCAAAGACATCCCAACAAGTGATACTCCTCTCTTGGACTTCCCATCTCCAGAACTTCCTCTTCAGAAGCTCTCAGAAGATGATTACAAATAAATAGAATATGAGGCTATGGAAGATGAGAGGAAAAGTATAATTAATGCAAGCAAACAAAAAGAGAAAACTGCCTTCCCAGAATGACCCAGGAAATACATCACCTTCAATACAAAGAAGAGGGTACATGCTGCAAAATATGCAGAATATCTAAACTGCTGACTCAAATGGAGGAGTCCAGTTCTGGCAGATATTAAATTCTCCCATAGATTTAGCCTGTCCTGTTATAAACTAAATGGCTCCCTACAATAGCTTCTTCAACTAATTATTTTCCTTTTCTCAATTTCAGGCTCATAATTTATGAAAGTATGCAATGTGCAATAATAACTAATGCTATAGTAGCTAATGTAAAATCCAAGTAATACGTAAGCCCAATGTTATCTTGTTTTTGACAACCACTGTGCACTTACTGCATGTATTTTGTTGTACACCTATTATTCATTTATGAGATGTCAGTTACAAATCTTTCTAGACACAACTGGTAATTGAAAGTGTGACATTTGCAATAGGATATACAAACAGGTAAGTGGAACAAAGCAGAGTCTACAACCAGACCCATACATATACAGTCTTTGGAATTTGTGACAAAGGTGATGCTGTAGTACAATGGGGAAAGGTCTGGGTCAGTTGGAAATACACATTGGGAAAAACCCTTGACCTTTACAAAGATCAGTTTCATACAGATTGTAGATCTAAATGTGAAAGGCAAAACAAAACTTTTAGAAGGTAGTTCAGAATTACATATTCACAACCATAATGAAGAGTTTGATAAATGGAACTTAAAATTTAAAACTCTTCATTAAGAGACACCTTTAAGAAAGTAAAAAGGTAAACAAACCATAGAGAGAAGATATTTTATAATACATGTAAAGAACTCCTACAGATCAATCTGGAAAAAAAAAAAAGAAAATCCAATTTTTTTAAATGAGCAAAAGTTGTGAAAGGACACTTTACATACAGTTATAAGCATTTGCAAAGGTGCTGAAAATTATCAGTCACCAAGACAATGTACTGTACTCACTAGAATAACTAAACAAACAAAATGACAAAGAAACCCTGATGATAACAAGTGGTGGAAGTAATGGTGACAATGCAGAGCACATGAACTTTCATTCACTACTGGTTGGAATAAAAATTGATACAATCACTTTGAAACAATGATGACAGTAACGACAATAGCAGAGTATAGCTGCTATCCAGCAATCCCACCCCCCCAGGGTATGTCTCCCAAAAATTAATACATGTGTGCTCATGGCCACCTTATGTATAGAAACCCCAAACTGAAAATATCCCAAATAACCACCACCAATAGAATGGATAATGGTATACATATGCAATAGAATTATTTCACAACAATGTAAAAGAATGAACTATAGCTAACACACACAAGTTCAAGCCAAAAATATAAAAAAGCCAAATATAAGAGTGCATGAATTCACTTATCTGTAGTACAAAAACAGACAATACTATCCCCAAGCACTACATAAAAAACACAAGCAACAAAAGAAGAAATAAACTGAACTCCATCCAAATTTAAAACCATTGAGCTTCAAAGAACACCATCAACAAAGTAAAAAGACAACCCTTGGAATGAGAGAAAATATTTGGAGATCATATATATCTGATATCTAAGAAAGGACTTGTATCCAGATATATAAAACATTCTTACACCTCAACAGCAAAAGGACAGATGACACAACTGAAAAATGGGCATGGCATCTGAAAACACCATATTTTTTGGACTATAAAATGAACATTCCCTGCCCCAAATTTGGGAGGAATAATGGTTGTTAATGCTGCTATTGAGTTGTTTATATCTACATTGGTGAAATATTATGTTATTTATATTATTAAATACTGTACCACATTTTCTGCTTCAAACTTTCTTTCGTATTTTCCTCCTCTAAAACCTAGGTGTGTCTTATGGTCCAAAAAAAATGTGGTATGTTCTTCCAAAGATGATATATAAATGGCCAATAAACACTTGGTAATATGCTCAACACTATTAAGCATTAGGAAAATGCAAATCAAAACCACTTCAAACCTATTAAAATGACTATAATCCAAAAGACAAACACTAACAAGTGTTGGTGAGGATGTGCAGAAATCATACATTGCTGGTGGGAATGTATAATGGTATAGTAGTGTTAGAAACTAGTTTGGCAGTTCCTCAAGAAGTTGTACATGGAGTTACCATATGACCCAGCAATTCCATACCCAAGTTTATACCCAAAAGAAATTAACACGTATGAAAACACAATAACCAGTCACAAATGTTCATATCTGCATATTCACAACAGCCAAAACAACCTAAATGTCCAAAAATTGATGAATAAGTAAAATGTAGTATTATTCACAGAATGAAATATTACTCAGCAACAAGTGCTTGATACACACTACAACGTGGATGAACCTTACAAACATTATGATCAGTGACAGATAGTGTGACAAGTCACAAAAGACCGTATTTTGCATGATTCCATTAATACAAAATGCCTAGATCAGGTGAGAATATAGAAATAAAAGGTTGCCTAGGGCTGTGGGAGAGAGGACTGGGAAGTAATGGAATGACTGCAAATAGATATGGAATTTATTTGGGGGATCATAAAATTGTTCTAAAATTGTGCTGATGGTTACCCAACTCAAGGAATATACTAAAAACCATTAAATTGTACATTTTAAATGGTTGTGTGGTATATGAATTATATTTCAACAAAGCTACTATAAATAAATGAGATGAAACTATGATGATACAAAATTAGAATGATATGTCACATCTGGAGTGAAAAAAATGACTTGGAAGGGACACGTAGAAGGATCCCTGAGTACAGGTAATGTTCTGTACCTAGTTCTGGGTAGTTACAAAAATAAATTTGCTTTGTAAAAACTCATAAAGCCTTACACCTAAGAGGTATGCACATTAGTATATCTACGCTATCCTTCAATGGAAAAACATTTTTAATATAACTAAAAATTTCAGAAAATCTCAGAAAACTAACTTAGGTATCATTTACTCCTATTTTAAAAATTAGGAACATTAGATAATTGAGAGGTTAAAATAACTTGCTTATGGTCATATTCTAAGTTAATGACAGAATTAAAGTTTAGCTCCAATTTGTAAACAATGTAAACTGAGAGTGGACAAATGCTTGCTAGTCACATTAACTACTACTTTTACCACATCCACATGCTTACTTCCTTCACTGCACTTAAAACTACATAAAATGATCTGCATCCTGTTAAGAACAGTACATAGTGCACAATGCCTAACAAGTATCCAGAATGAAATCACTACACCCCAACTCTTTCCTGTGGTTTGTCTTTTTGAAGGTGGGAAGTCACTTTGTTATTTGTTGGAACAGTAACTGAATGCAAGCCTGGCTGTATTCAAATACAGCCATGAATTTAACTTAAAAGTGGTTTTAAAAAAAGATAAAGAAAGATAATTAACATTGATACATTATAGAAATATAAAATGGAAGAATGGTTTATGATTTGTGACCCATTTCAAATAATAACTACTTCAATAATTTTTTAAATGACAATAATAAAATATAGAAAAGTTTCTTCTCAAACAAAAAAACTATAGGTTAATCATAAATATGACTTAGGTATGGCCAAAGTTACTGCATTTGAACAAGAATTGAGCATAATTTGCAAGACAATCATAGAAATTTTAAGACAGCCTGGAAAAGCTTTATTACTAGGAAAAATTGGATGTCCTTTTCCTTAAGATGACTGATTTAAAACTGTTTTGATAGGAATGCTCTATATTCTTTCTTATGTTCTAACTTCCTTATATTCTTTAGTACTTCTTTACTTGTGTAGACTTATTGTGTGTAAATTATTACTATGTTTACTACATATCCTAAATAAATGAGATTAAAAGATTTAGTAAGTAGCTATTCTCTCAGAAATGGTATTACATAAATGAAAAAGTCCTGTTATTCAATCTCTTCTTTAAAATCAGGCCAAAATCATAAATTAAAACTTAAAAAAAAACACTTTAGTACATTCCAGGATTTTTTTTTTCTTTTTGCAGCATTCTACCTCTAAAAGTATGGCTTATACTACTCACATGGCACTTAGTACATATTACCTCGCTTTATTAATATTTCTGCCACCACAAACTTCACTCCCAGCATGCTATATATTTGTATTCCTAATGCAGCACAAAACAGGCATTTCATGAATATCCGTTTTAACTAATGAAAAATGCATCTAAAGTGGTAGAAACAACATCAAGATGGAATTCAGAAAGTAAGTCTGCCTTTGTTGTGGTCTGTGAACAAGTCTCTTTTCTACCTCTTAGCTTTGAACTAAATAGTTTCTAGATCTTTTCTAGCTCTGAGAAGTGAGGTTTCTAAATGAGTGAGAATAAGACCAAAGGTTTTTGTTTCTTCCCTTAGAAACTATTATTTCCAATCCTCTTGGAATTAAAATGATCAACAACCAGTTTGTGGATTTATAGCAATCTCTCTCTGACTTCCTCCCCTACACACCCAATTATAAATTACTCTACCCACTGCTCCAGAACATTTCCCCATCAAAGTAGGCTGGTGTTAGGAATGAAGATGAACCTATATGAGGTTATTATTTAATAAACCTTACACAGAGTAATAATCTTATTCTATTTCCAACAGAACTAATGACTGGTTCTACTAGTTGTCAGGAAAGCAAATATTAATTCTAGCTTTATAAATAATAGATTTCATGTTAGCCCCAAGATACTACTGCTTAGGAAAGAGGCGAGCATCTTATTTTGTTCAATACCTTTTTCCTTTTGTTCTCTCACTATTTGTTGTTTGAAAGTAATACATCCCAGTTATTTGCCATAAAGCAGTCTCCAAACCTAATGTACCCTTTCTATACACTGTAGTATTTTAGTTACATACTGCTTAGGAAGCAGATTCTTCACAACATTTCTCTATGTTGTATAGCTTTTAATACAATGAAATCAAATTTAGAGATTGAGTCCAAAAGAGTTTGTATAGTCAGAATAACTTAAAAATGCCTTAAGTTATACACATGCTTTAAGGTACTCAAATGTACATAAAGCACTGTATAAATGCTTTTCTTTACATGCCAGAAAGTATTAAAAATGTGTCATTTATAAAACCCCAGACAAGAAAAATAAATTAACATATTGTCATTACAATACAGAATAAGAGTACACATGAAAATACTTGTTGAAGTAACTAAAGAGAAAGAACACATAAACATTGCATAGTTGAATGTGTTTTAAACATGTTTATGGTGTAATTCTACTAAGTTTAATTTAGCAATTAAATGTAACTAGTCTCTGTAAAACAAGTAAGTTTTAATAGTAGTTAAGGAAATACTACTACTTGAAAAAGGGCAATGACTTTTAAATTTTTTAAAATTTAATCTTGTTTCCCAGTAGTTTTATTTCTTTTCTTTTATTAATTTTTTAAATCTTCATATTTTTATTGTATTCTTAATGTATTTTTCCCATTACCAATTAGTCCCCTTATACCTCTCTCCTTGGCAATCATCACACTGTTGTCCATGTCCACAAGTCCTTTCTCCTTTTTGCATAGCAACGATTTTGAATCCAATGTCAAAAAGAAACTTACCTTTCTGGGCTTTCAGTGTCTGTTCTTCAATTTGCCTTAGACGTTCCATAAGTTCTTCCTTTTCCCGTTCTATTCTTTCCTTTTCCTTTTCTGCTATTTCTCTTTTCTTCTTTTCATTCTCCAACTGTGCCCTTAAAAAGAATTGCAATTGTTTTGTTACAAATTAATAACTAGAAATGTCAACTAAGAAGAAACTACAGCATAAATATTATGTCTTTATTTTATTCATCTGTGTTAAAAATATCATGTAGTTGAAAATATGTAAGTACCCTGTATTTTTCAGACCATAAGACCCACCTAGGTTTTAGAGGAAAATAGGAAAAAAATTTTAAAACAAAAAAATGTGGTAAAATATTTTATAACATAAATAACACAATTATTTTACCAATGTAAATGTAAACAGAACTTAACAGCAGCATTAACAACCATTATTCCTCCCAAATTTTGGGGGGCAGTGAAGAAAAAGAAAGAAGAAAAAACTGGTGCATCTTAGAGTTCAAAAAATACAGTACATATACATATACTAGATTATAATGTGTTTCTTATTGCGGGATCACAATAAATATAGTCAATCACTATTTTTAAAATATTAAAAACTTAGCCACTAAATTAGAAAGAACCTCAAAGGACAAATTTTCAGAACTGTAAAAGAAATAAAAACTGTCAGGGAAGTAAAACTGTCAAATGTATCTCTTGTGTGCAAAGCATATTTTAAAATGCAGCCCTGGCTGATGTAGTTCAGTGGACTGAGCACAGCCCTGAGAATGAAGGGGTTGATGGTTCAATTTCCAGTCAGAGCACAAGCCAGGGTTATGGGCCAGGTCCCCAGTATGGGGTGCGTGAGAGGCAACCACACATTGATGTTTTCTCTCCCTCTCTTTCTCCCTCTCTTCCCTACTCCCTAAAAATAAGTAAAATATTTAAAAAATAAAAAGAAAATAAAAATAAAATGCAGGCTTGTGTGGAGGGGAAAAGAGGAGATTTATCACTTGCATATTCAATGACCTTTCACAATTAGAGGTCAGCACAAAAATTAATTGCAGAGTTGCCATACATACCCAAGAAAATGACTTTAGCTTATCAGGAGCTGTAAGGGAGCACACAAGGCTGTTTTATTTTAAACAGTAAAATATCCTGGGAGGGCAACAATTTGCAATAATTAGCAATAAATTAATGCAAGTTTAATTTCTGAGGTAGAACCAATTTATACTTAGATACAAGGTGTCAGATCAGTTATATTTCCTTTGACAATTCCACTAGCATGACAGATAAACAGCATTATCTATCTAATGCTGTTTAAAAAGATCACCATGAGAGCTAGGTGGAGAGACGGCCTCCAACATTTAGCTGCATCTGCCATGGGCCTAATGAGACTGTTTCTTTTAAATATAGCTAAATTCATCTATCAAACAAGAGCCTACCTGAGTCTGACTCTGCTGAAAGCCAGAAGTATAAACATAAATAAGAATTAGATGAGATACTGTATTAATCATCAGTAATATTACCTACTTAATAAGTTTAATCAACACTATCACCATCACTTTAATGGGAATAAGTTTTTAGTTAAAAAATGAATTATATTTTCACTTCTGAAACTTACCTGAATATGTCTAAATACCCCCCAAAAGACATCACTGCCATCTAGTGTCAATTCTAAATGCCAGGCACAAAGTCACCTAGTTTCTCAACCTCCAGTCTTTGATAAATTCTTCAGCAAAGTTTCATTGAAGTTGTTCTCCTTACTCTGTAAACCCCAAATTAAAAAATTCCTGCAATTCCTAGGTACCAATCTTTCTCCAACACAGAAAGTGAATCCATCTTGGGTCAAATAGAACTGTGACACTATGACAAGTCAGCAAGAGGTAAGACAGATAATTGATGTTAATCTATGCACCAAACCAAACATGAAGTTTAGGAGTCAGCCTATGATTGACTACACCTCTCCAACCAGTTTAATGAACCCTCACAGCATGTAAGATTCTAGAAGCTCATTCATTTGAGAATTGCACCTATGTTCCAGCTCCCTATGAGATTCTTTTTCAACAAAAGAAGAGTCAACCACTAACTCCCCACCCCTCCAGACGTGGCCTCACTTTGCAGTATACCTCACCCCTCTAGAAGATATGAGTGTGATAGAGTCTTAAATGAGTTAAGTTTCCCAATTTCCTTGAGCAAAAGAAGGGCCTGGTGGGCCCCACAGAGGTTGCTGCCTTTTCTGTATTCTTTAGGAAGCTGAAAATGCAGGCTGCCCCTGAAAGCAAAAGCACACTACTTTTCAAGTAATTGCTAGTATGGCCAAGGGCTACTCTTTTTCATGCTAGGCTGCCAGCAGCCTCCCCAGTATCTGCTCAATCACATCCAGTGCTGTCAGTTACCTTCCTGCCTTCCTCCAAGGCCGAGACACACCACAAACCAGATTGCAAGATTTAATGGCTACAGTAACACCCATGAACTGAGAAGCTGTCAGGTCCAGCTCTGGCACACATATGGCCCCTTGTGGAGATGGGTATTGGTTTCATTTAGTTTTTCCCTATTGATGTTTCATTTGTTCTTCCTCAAGGATGAAGGTAAGGAGATACGGAAACAGGAAAAAAACTGAAGGTAACTTGGCCATAAGCAAGTTGGGGGTGGGAGTAGGGAATTAGCCTTTGTACCAAAAAGTGGAATAAATGAACAGCAGATATTGATTATAATATTTAAAACACTATACACAGTTCACTCTGCTGGACTCTTATGAAACCTACGTCTTCTATCTTATAGAATTCTCTGACTATACCACCACCACCACTGTGTTCAATGAAAACAAATGCCTTTGGCTCACCACATCCCTTAGTTATATACCTAGTTTTGCAGGTCTGTCTTACCTACCTCATGAAACTGAAGAGTCTGCTTCTCCCCTAAACAATGTTCAACTGTAAGGACCAACGTGGCATACTCACTGGCCCCTAGGTAAGCCATGCATATCCTTAACTCTACATGTTTGCTTATGTTGGCATCCTCTTCTGAAAATATCTCCCCCCTAACTCTCAAGCCTATTTCTAACTTTAAAGGTCTAGTAAAGTCCACTTTCACCATGAGGCCTTTTGTATAATGATGTAAATCTAGACCACAGATGTAAATATTTTTATTTAGAGTTTGGGTTTGGAAACACTCATTTGATCAAATTGTCGTACTTCAAGAACACAAATAACATTAATAAGCTATCAATTCTCTGTATTAACATACAAAAATATTTTAGAATACCTTTCTAAAGACTATCATATGTACCTGATTACATTTTTCTTAAGATACAAAACTAGTATGTAACTTCTATTCAAACTTCTATGTATTAATAATATTAAGAATTATTATGATAGCTACTATTTATTAAATGTTTATATACCGCTGTCATTATTTCTCACAAAAACCCTTGAAGGCAGGACTATTACTTTCATGTTAAGGGTAAGAAGACAGTGGCTCAGAAGTTTTTTCAACAAGTGTTAGAAGAGATTGAAACCAGATTGATATAGTTCCAAAGCCTGTATTTTTTGCAGGACACCAACTGTGTCCTATTGATACAGGAAGCCAGCCATGACACAAAATATCCCACAGCTAACCTACAAATGGGGCGTGAGCATCTGAATTTGAATTGTAAACTTGAGGCTCTTAGTTTTTAAATTTGGTAACAATTTTAGCCATACAAAAAATGTTCAGAATTATAGAATAAATCATCATCGATTTGGATGCAAGTAACATCAGAGCACAGATTAGAGAGATCAAGAACCCATGGTATTGTGTTATATATAACCAATATAGAACACCATTTTCACTGTGAAAAACCAAAGCTATGAGAGTTATGGGGAAAGAAGAAGATCACGGATATCAAGGTATTATAAGGGAAGAGGCTTCCCCTAGTTGCAACCACCTAGTTGCTGCCCCTTCCCAACTACTATCGTTGCCCAAGAGCGCCCAGCAGCACAGGCAGCACATCTCTGGGCATCCCCCCAAGTATGTCTGCTGGCTGCTTTGCCAATGGGCTTGACCAAAACTATTTCCACATACACAGCTGTCATTTCTCTCTGACCTATAAAGCAGGGAATATATGAAGACTTAGCATACCATTTCTGACACCTGCCAAATCCCTATGTTGCTAATATAAAACATCCTCTAGGCATTCAAATGAATAAAACAGTTACTGAATTCCTACAGTAGAGAATGCTTGCTAATGAAATGCTATAACATTTATTTATCCAAGATAGGAACCATAGGATTCTTATTGTGGCCAAAAAAAAAAAAAACCCTAAAAGTATTCTATTTTCATCTAGGCCTTAAAGTAACTAAAATATAGCACCATCACCAAATGTTACTTGTTAATGATACTACATATACTAAAAATCACATAGCGTGCCTCTCTATGCTTGAGAAATAAAGAACAAGTAGATGAATATATTTAAGAATAAAAGTAACATATCAGTATTATAGACAAGCAGAATAGTTAGGACATTACTGAGTGATAAGGATGGGATACTACAGTCAGGTCTCTGTATCAGTGGGTTCCTCATCCATGGATTTAACCAACTGTGCATTAAAAATATTTGAAAAATAGTTACGTTGTTGCTGATGTGTACTACATAGGTAGGCCTATACTAGTTCCGTCTGTGCTGAAAATGTACAGACTTTTTTTGGTAATTGTTCCCTAAACAATACAGTACTACAACATTTACACAGCATTTACATTGGATAAGTATAATAAGTAATCTAAAGGTGATTTAAAGTATAGGGGAGGATATATATAGGTCATATGCAAATACTACACCATTTTATATAAAGGACTTGGGTATCCATGAGGGTCCTGGAGTAATGCCTGACAAAGGAAGACTGTAATTTCTGAATATATAGAAAGTAAAGTCCAATTAAGAACTATTTTAAAAACCATATAATGCTAGAAGCACAATGTGATCCTAAGCCACACAAGAGCAGTAAAAAATGATAGAGCCCAGTCAAAGCAACAAACCAACTTAATATCTTTAATGGTGGGTCAGGAATCACTGGGATATTTCATGCCTATATAAAAATGTTTTGTAATACTGTAAACTTTTCTAAGGCAGATAAACTGAGGGAAGCAATCTGAATTAATAGAAGATCTGAATTACACAAAACATTTAAGAAAAAATACATCATTAAATACGAACACTAAAAGCAGAGGTAGCAAAATTATATTTAGCAGGGAACTATTAGATTCAAATTATATAATTTCCAATATGTTTGAAACATATACATTTACATATATTTAGGGCTCCTCAATATTGTTTTTTTAGGAGCTACTCTATTTCTTAAATTATCATGCTACTCTACAAAGATTTCTTCAATAAAGCTTAACCTCAGTTTGGTGTCTAAATTTTTTCAAATGAAGCACATAGTTTAAATTAATCTAGAATCAGATTTGAGGATTTTGTTGTCCAACCCCAGTAATCTGCTTCCAGGTCTGACAAGAATTTTAACCAATCTTTCCACTTCAAAAACTCTCAATTTTATACAGTTAACAGTATCTTTTTTTGAAAGTCTAAGTGAACGATGGCTAAAAACATCAGTGTTGTTGGCAGGGAGAACTGGGGTTACTGTGCTCTGTGCACTGACTTTTTGAGTTTTACAATGCCCATGACACTTTCAAAGAAAAACACCCAGCATATTCTTACCCAAAGTCCCACGCAAAACAAACTTGAAAATTTCATACTACATCCAAACCAATGTTAGTGAGAAGCAAGCATAATAAAAGGAAAGTGTACCTATGAAATCATGAAAAGCTATTTACTCAGAAATATGTCAGATATCTAACTTGAAAACTGTACATACCCATTTTATAAAGGACAATGATAATAACTGTCATTCAATTTTAATAGTGAAAATAGTGTAAAATGTAATATCTGAGTATGTTAAAGAAACTACAAATTCTTAAATTCCATTTTTATTATTTGTTTTCATTTTTATCCGCACTGAGGACATACTTATTGATTTCAGAGAGGGAAAGAAACACCAGTGTGAGAAACATGGATCAGCTGCCTCTTGCACACACAGCAAATGGAGATGGAACCTGCAACCTAGGCCTGTGCCCTAAGTGGAAAATGAACCCACGACCTTTCCATTTACAAGACACTCCAACCAACTCAGCCACACTGGCTAGGGCTATTGCTCTTACACTGTAACTAGCCTACTTCTATCAATCAGGGATGAAAAGCTGTAAATTCCATACCTTTCCAACTGCTTCTGATGTTTCTCCTCTCTAGCCTGAGCCTTCATCTGTTGTACTTCAATAGTATCAGGCTTCCTTCTTCGCATGTACAGTTCATGGTTTCCCATACATAAAGCCAAAATCCGCTTATTGATTCTCAGACGAGGTGCATAAAAAACAAAATCCTAAACATAAAGTATTCTGTATTTAAAATCTGCCTTGAAGGATAGTCTCTATTAATCTGTACTAAATTTCAATGTGTGGTACGAATTCTAATGTCACATTACATACAGTTTAGAAATCATAAGATTTCCTGATGACTAGTGAGTATACCATACTTGCCTATAACTGGCTCTTCACTGTTTCATTCCCCACCAGTTTTGTGGGGAGGCCAATAATCTTATACTCTCAATGCAGTAAATGTCATTTATTATTTTTTCTTCTCCAGAGTAACTATAAGTATCTGTTCCTCCACATCAGGAGGGTTTTTTGTTTGTTTTACCTTTTGCCATATTTATCTCAAAATTGGTATTTGTTCAGGGCTGTCAAGTTTTTAAACCTAGAATTGTTCTCATCTTTTTGTCTTTCCAATAACTAACAAATTACAGCAGTACACTTAACACTAGATGAATCAAAGAATCTATTTAAACGTAAACACTTCAGCTTCACACTTTAAGTTACAAAAATACAACATTCATGATTCAAAACTCTATAAACAGAATACAGAACAGAGCTCCCTTTGCTATTTTCAATCACCTCCTAATACCGTAAGTTTCAGTTAAAATAAAATACTAATATTTAAATAAGTTATAATAAGATTGAAACTTCGTATTTTAATACATTTATTATCTTATCACTAGGAAACTTAAACTATAGAAAAAGAATATTCCTTAGGACCAATTCAATAAATGAACAATGTCATTTTTCAAGTAATACCACAGCAAAGTGGCAGAAATTTAAAATAAATAAAACATTTAAAAAATTTACTTACAGGTGCCTTTTTGTCGATTGGCTTTATAACAAATTTTTTGTCATTAAATGAAATATTTCTGATTTCGCTCCAGGGAAAACCAATTTTAGGTGTTAACCTTAAAAAAATAAGAGAGACAGAGCATTTCTGTAGTTAGAAGCATGAAACAATGGACAAAATTTAGATCAGCTTTTTGGGGCCAATTTAATTGAATGACCGGAGCTCCAGATTTTCAAAATATATTAACTTACTCATAACATACTGTTGACATTACCTTTTAAGGGACAATCTGATCAACTAAATCGCATAAAACAGCCCTGGCTGGTGTGGCTCCATGGACAGAGCACTGGCCTGCAAACCAAAAGGTTGCTGCTTTGATCCCTGAATAGGGCACATGCCTAGGTTGTGGACCAGGTTCCCAATTGGAGGTGTGCAGGTTTATGTTTCTCTCACACATGGATGTTTCTCTACCTCTTTTTCTCCCTGCCTTCCCTCTCTCCAAAAATAAATAAGTAAACAATTTTAAAAATCACATAAAACAAAGACTATCCCCAAAATTTCATAAATGTGTCACAAACCTTGATTTCTCTGTTAGGGTTTACACAAGCTCTACCTAGGCTCAAGCTACTACAACTATTAAGTTTAATATGTTTAAGAAGAGGGGAAAAAAGACAGCTTTTATAACTTTTCATATGAATTATGAACCTAAGTCACTAAAAATTATTTCCTTCCTGTTTAATATTAAAATGTTTGCATTATTTATAAATATACTATAAACACTAAATTTTCAGTACACTTTAATAGGCTTAATTTTATGGTATATTACTTACTTCTCCCACAAAAAATTTTAAACACTCATACACACAAGTTTGGATACACAGAATGGAAATTCTGACTCTGTGACTATAAAACTGATGCCCCCAGTTACACCCCACATACAAAGATTTAGGGAATCAGACTGGAACAAGTAATTTTGTTTCTGCTTGTCATATATTTCATTCTTTTGGACTGCCCATCAAAGGTATCACTGCTATCCAACAAGAGCATGAATGACTGTGACACCTATATTGGCCAAAGCTATTTAGCCAGCATTCTGGTAACAGAGTATGAATCACCTATCTATTTAAAGTTCTTTTAATCTCAAGCAGACTGACCACAGTCCATCAAGTAATTTTCTCTATAAAAAACATTTTTTACTCAATATGCATGCACCACGCTGTCCTTTATAATGGCCACCAAGATACATCACAGTTACCTATTGAAAAGGGAGGCTTATAATATTTTTAAGGTAATATTATACTACACTCACAGGTTACTTCTAAAAATTCTAAAGAATTTCCTTATACAATTCTCACAACAATATTGTGAGGTGAATCTGGCAGTTACTAAAATTTCAGAGTTAATTAACTTGACCAAGGTCACAAAAGTAATTAGTAGCAGATTTGATAAAAGAGCAACTTTTATCAAAAGGGCAAAAGTTGTTCAACTTTTAAAGTTGTACCCTATTTTTTTTAATTTAAAAATATAAGTAACAGATGAATACATTCTCAATATGAAATGAAATTGGACCATTACAGAAAGACCAAAGAACCCATTCATTGCCCACTATCCCTAGTCGCTCCCTCCTGTCCCAAGCTAACCCCCTCTTTCATATTCCCCATCTTTACCTTTATTAATATATATAATGAATACTCTAATAAAAATTGATTCAGCAATTTTTAAAAGAAAAAAGAACATTTGATCTAAGTCTTACTTTTGCTTTTCAAAAATTTTCCCTTCTAAATGACATAGCATTTTAACTTGCTTCATAATATAAATGAAAAAATATATCAGAGTAAAATTAGTAAAATGCTCTCTTTTGGAATCATCATTATGTATATGCTTAGAAATGTGTGTTTTATTAGATACCTGTAATAATGAAACCAAAAATTTGGAGCCAACCCAGAATAAAGAGAAATGCCTTTTAGGAAGGTGACACAGGCACAGATTTGGATGCCCTTGTGTCATGGTAAATAAATCAAAGAAAGGTATAATGCAGTTGTAGCTATCATTCCTAAAAACTGCTGGAAGAGCTTGATGTAATTTATATTAAATATAAAAATACCTGGTCAATTTCAAAATAAAATTACACTGTTCATTATCTTTAATATAGGAATGTTCTGCTTTACTAATGCCCAAAAACATTCAAAACAATTCCTATAATAAACCAAAAAGTGTTACAAACACAATAAATCACACATTTTAATCTCATTGTCTCATTGCTCTTGATTTCTTACATACATTAATTTCAGTTTCAACCTGTATGCCACACATAACATTGAAAAAACTGTTCTTTACCTACTAAGGAAATACATTTTAATTAAGTTACTAGACATAACTCACAAGAGATCAGGAAGCATATTTCAAATAAAAGTGAATTCACCATTTTGATAGATACGCTGAGAAGTAACTGAAATCACAAGATGCTGAGAAAATGAAAATATGATAAATGAAAACTTATATGGCATAAACTAATCTTTTAATTTGGTATAGAAAAAGTAATACAGGAAATCAAGCCAACTGATTACTGACTAGTTCACTATTTACTTACTTGTCATCATGCTCATAAATATTCAGACCCAAAGCATCAACACCTAGCCACAATTCAGTTCCTTTTTTATTTTTTATTTCAAAATAGTTGACTCCATACATTTCTAGATCTTGTGCAATCTTCAGGTATTCCATCATAGAATCCTCCCTGTTGAAATAAAGCTTATTGTAACATATTTAAATAAGGGTACCTAATATCAAACAAATTACAAAAATACTTTGAATTAAAATGTAGTGTTTTATTTGTATAAGTCAAATGATCTTTGGGGGGATAAGCTGATATAATAATCAATGTTATGAAATAAAAATACTTTGATTTGAGGAAAACACAAAGAAAGCCATCCAAATACCTCAGCATTCCTCTATGTTCTTCATGCCAGTTCTGTATTCTTTCTTCCCACTGCTCTTTTGTCAATTTGTGTTGTTCTAAAACACTAGAAGAAAAAAAAAATCTATGAAAATGTCTCTATCAGTGAAAATCAATATTCTTTTAAAAGTCTAGAATCAACCCTGACTGTGGTGGTTGTCATACAGATCTATACACAATAAAACAGCACAGAATAAATTTTCACACACACACATGACTGCATGCAAAACTGATGAAATTTAAATAAAGTAGGTGCATTGTATCAATGTCCATATTTTCACTGTGATACTGTACTGAAGTTACATGAAATGTTACCATCAAAGAAGGCTGGGAAAAAGTACATAGGATCTCTCTATTATTTTACAATTGTGTGTGAATCTACCAAAATAGAATCCTGAAATTATTTTAAATAATACATTTAAAATAGTTATTATACAGAGAGTTTAAAAGAATTCAAATGTTTTAAGCAAAATATTAGACAAAAAAGGAAAAAATGACTCATTATTAATAGAAAAATCACAAAACAGACTGAAAATCAGAAATTCTTAGGCCTTCATTCTTTTACTACATTTTTGTGCTAAATTTAATTTTAATTTCTATTGGTTATGCTTTACATAAAAGTGACAAGTCATACTTTTTTCACTACCCATGCCCTCCAAATAACTTTTCATTAGTTTCTTTTGCATCTTTCCAGTGTTTCTTATGCAAATTTTAAAACGCACAAACAGTATTTTCTTTTACTAACATTTTAATTCCAAATCAGAAGATTCGATATTGAATCAGCAGATTCGATTCCCAGTCAGGGCACATGCCTGGGTTGCAGGCCAGACCCCAGCAGGGGACCCATGAGAGGCAATCGTGTATTGATATTTCTCTCCTTCTCTCCATCCCTTACCCTCTAAAGATAAATAAATAAAATATTCTTAAATCAATCAATCAATCAATCTTAGGATGCAATCCTCCCTTGGACAAGTTACTATTTAGAGTGGATTCCTTAATGGAGTTTCAGAGAGACCATTATGTTCTTATTATAAACTGCTCCTTTCTCTATGTATTTCTCTTTTAAGCCCTGGTTTTTGGAGAAAGGAGTTTTGTCTTCTTCCTTACAGCACTGAAGTTTCCACATTTTTCTTGTTTTTAATTGTCCCTCTTCCTATCTTAAGTTGTGCTCACCAGCAGCAATGCAATCAGCCTTGAAAGCACAATCAATTCAGCCAACTGTTTGTACCAGGATGTTAACTAAATCTGAAGGTATGAGTTAATTAAATTGGATGCCACCAGGATTTCTGCTATAGTTTTTTATGCAACTGTATTTCAAATATCATCCTGTATTTCAAATATCATCTGTTCACACTTTGCATAATGCACTTGAATTATTAAATCTGCACAACTGATTTGCAGGTATGCAAAACTTCCCACATTCTTTTTCTTCGGTCCAGAGCCAAAAGCCCTTCTTTACACCTAAGGCCAAACCATCCAACTTGACTTTATATTCAGGCCTTTAAGTGACTGTTTTCTCTACTTCCTCAGGATCTTCACTCTATACTTTATGGCAGGGGACATATTTATTGTTCCCTGCTCACATATATTATCATCTCTACCTAGTTGCATTACAGGGGGCAGAGACCATATATACACTGCTCACCACTAAATGCCCACAGTCAGTCCTAAAGAGTACTCAAAAATTTGTAGAGTAAAAAAAGGAAATTCAAAATCAATTTTTCCCTTCTCTTATAGAACATATCTCTAAACCCATGCTTCCCTACTCCTTTTTTCTTCTCCTAAACAGCAAACTTTTTTTGAGAACTGTCCATATTCACTATTCTTCATTTCTATATATCATGTCCACTGCCCAAGGCAAACCACAATCTGACTTCAATCCCCAACACTCTACTGAAACTGCTCTAAGGGTCACTTCCACCTCCTTGTTAACCCCAACAGACGTGTTAGGTACCCTCATACTCAACCTCTTTGTACTACTTGACACTGCTGACCATTCTCTCCTTAAAGCATTCTTTTACCCTGTCTTCCATGATGTAACACTCCCCTGGTATTAATCTCAATATACTTTAGAGGAGCCTTTCCCATTGCACTTCAAAGTATTTTACTGTCCCAAGCCTTTTTCTTACTCTGTACTTTCGTATCCATCTCTTTCATTTCCATCTATTTGCTAATTACTCCCAAACTGTATCAGAGCTCAAACTGCTCTCCAAGATCTGAACCCACAACAACAAATGAACACTCGCACTCTCTCTTGGTTATATTGTAGATATTTCAAACTCATTAGGTTCAAAACTGAAATCTACCTCCTACAAAATATATTCTCACCCCCCCCATCTCGGCAAGAAGGTATTACCAACTGCTCAGATGCCCAACCCAGAAACCTGGAATATAAAAATTTACATATATCAAGCTCTTTTTAAAGAAAGATACTATCTGGTGGAGCTGATTATCTCTATCACCAGAAAGCTAAACTCTACTTTGGAAGAAGAGACTGCTTATCTGGGTTTTTCAATATAAGAATTAAAAGCATCCACTGAGCATCCAAGATAGGCAGAGGAGTAAATGAAAGTTACACTCACCTCCTATCAGGGCCAATATGAAATTACAACTAAGTTGTATAGAAATCATCTTGAATAACCAACTGAACACTAGCTGGAGAGAACTCTTACAACCAAAGACAGAAGAAAACATTTCACCACAATGTGACTGGTAGGAGTGTGGAGGAGATGCAAGAAGGCTGGCTGGGTTCCCAAGGGGGCAGTGAAGAGCCAGAGGAATATTTCAGCAGCGGGGAGGATCCCCCTGAAAAGTGTAGGGTATAAACCCCACATTGGGCTCCCCAGCCTACAGCACCAGAGAAAAAAAGGAACTCAGATTAACATCACGCTGTGAAAACCAGGAGGTGTTCTATTGGTCAGGGAGAGACTGCTGAGATGCAGAGAGCCTTTTAAAGAGTCAAAGCACAAAATTTCATTTGCAGCCACTTACCTTGGGTGCCCGAAAAAGGAGGGCAGAGTGTACTAGAGACACTTGAGAAGAGCCTGAGGTGGGTGGCTTTGGGAAGAGAACTAAAGGACCAGCCACCACAATCTACAGGGTGAGCCATCCCTCACACTGCAGAAGCCATATCCCTCAGACAGAGCATTACTCTCTGAATGGCATCAGCCTAAGGGGAAGCAATAAGTGTCCCCCACCCATCCCCACATCCCCAGGAATTACTCTGTACCACCCTGAGGTGCTTAAGCCTGAATGGTAATTACAGACTGATTAGATTAACAGTTGATCAGTTTAATGGCTGATTAGTTAACATCTAAGGCAGAAAATACAAAGCAGCAGCCAAAATGGGAAGACAAAGAAATAGACCCCAAATGAAAGAACAAGAGAATTTTCTAGATGAATTAGATGAATTGGAAGTAAGTAATTCAACAGAGAAAGAGTTTAGAGTAATGATTATAAGGGTACTCAATAGCATGTGAAAAGACATAGAAACCATAAAAAAGTATCAGTCAGATACAAAGAATGCAGTATCTAAGATAAATAATACACTGGAAGGAATAAACAGTAGGTTTGATAAAGCAGAGGAAGACAAGGTAGAAAAAAACAGGCAGAGAAGCAAAATGAAAAAAGAATTTAAGAAAATGAGGAGTGCTTAAGAAATATTTTGGACAACATAAAGTATAACAACATCTGCACCATGGGAATACCAGAAGGAAAAGAGAGTGAGCAAGGGATTAAGAATCTATTTGAAGAAATAATAACCAAAAGTACCCATAATCTGGTAAGGGAAAAAGTCACACAAGTTCAGAAGCTCAGAGAATCTCAAACAAGTTGGACCCAAAAAGGCCTACACCAATACACATCATAAGTAAAATTACAAGGCTTAAAGACAAGGAGAGAATCCTGACAGCCCCAAGAGAAAAGCAGGTAATTACCTACAAGGGAGCACCAATAGGACTATCATCTGATTACATATCAGAAACATTTCAGGACAGAAGGGGGTGGGTGTTAAATATTCAAGATGAAAAGCAATGACCTACAACCAAGGCTATTTTACCTAGCAAGGCTATCATTTAAAATTCAAGGAGAAATAGGAGCTTCCCACACAAGAAAAAGCTAAAAGAATTTGTTAACACCAAACCGGTACTGCAACAAATGTTAAAGGCCTTGCTTTAAGAAAATGACAGAAAAGAGAAAGGGGGAGGGGAAACACCAGAGGAAAACAGTTAACAATAAAATGGCACTACACATGTATCTATCGATAATTACCTTAAATATAAATGGCTTATATGTTCTAATGAAAAGACAGAGGGTACCCAAATGGATAAGAAAACAAGATCCATATATATGGTGCCTCCACGAGACCCGTCTCAGATCGAAAGATACACACAGACTGAAAGTAAAAGGCTGAAAAAAAGATATTTCATACAAACAAAAAAGAAATAAGAAAGCTGGACTAGCAGTACTTATATCTGACAAAATAGACTTTAAAACCAAGGCTACAGTAAGAGACAAAGGACACTACTTAATGATAAAGGGAACAATCCAACAAGAGGATAACCCAAGTAAACATTTCTGCACCCAACATAGGAGCACCTAATTATGTAAAGCAAATCTTAATGAACATAAAGGGAGAGATCTACAGAAACACAGTCACAGTGGGAGATTTTAACATCCCACTGACTCCAAGGGCTAGATCTTCCAGGAAGAAAATCCTAAGTAGACAGTGGCCTTAAATGACACACTAGATCAACTGGATTTCACTGATGTCTTCAGAGCATTTCATTCCAAAGCAGCAGAATACACATACTTTTCAAATGCACATGGAACACTTCCTAAGATAGGCCACATACTAGGACACAAAAACAGTCTCAATAAATTTAAGAATACTGAAATAATGTCGACCATCTTCTCTAACACAATGCCCTAAAACTAGAAGTTATCCACAAGAACTCTGAAAAACACAAAGACATGGAAACTAAATAACATGTTATTAAGCAATGAATGGGTGAACAATGAGATTAAGGAGGAAATCAAAAGATACCTTGAAACAAATGAAAATGAGGACACACAATCCACAATCTGTGAGACACAGGGAAAGCAATTCTAAGGGGGAAATTCATTGCATTACAAGCCTATCTCAAAAATCATCAAAACGCTCAAATAAACCATCTAACTTCACACTTAACCTTGAAAAGGAACAAACACAGCCCCATGTGAATAGAAGGAAGGAAATAATTAAGATCAGAGCAGAAATGAAATAGTCTTTAAAAATGCTACAAAAGATCAATGAATCCAAGAGCTGGTTCTTTGAAAAGACAAACAAGATTGACAAACCTTGAACCAGATGCATCAAGAAAAAGAGAAAGGATCCAAATAAATAAAATCAGAAATGAAAGAGGAGAAATAACTGACACCAAAAAATACAAAGGACAGTAAGAAAGTATTACGGACATTTATATGCCAACAAACTGGACAACCTGGACAAAATGGATAAAGTTCTAGAAACATACAATCTTCCAAAAATAAATCAGGAAGAATCAGAGAATATGAATGGAGAAATTTCACCTAATGCAATTAAGGCAGTACTCAAAAAACTCCCAACAAACAAAAGCCCTGGACCAGATGGCTTCACAGATGAATTTTACCAAACATTCTGAGAAGAACTAACACCTCTCCTCTAACTATTTCATAAAATACAAGAGGAAGGAAGACTTCCAAACTCATTTTACAAAGCCAGCATTATCCTAATTCCAAAAACAGATAAAGACACTACAAAGAAAGAAAATTATAAGCCAGTATCACTGACAAACATAGATGCTAAAATCCTCAACAAAATATTAGCAAACCAAATACAGATATATGTCAAAAAGATCCTACACCATGATTAAGTGAGATTTTTTCAGGAATGCAAGGCTGGTACTATATTTGCAAATCAATAAATGTGATTCACCACATAAACAAAAGGAAGGGTAAAAAATCACATGATTGTATCAATAGATACAGAAAAAGCTTTTGATAAAATTCAGCACTCATTTCTCTCAGCAAAGTGGGAATAGAGGGAACATAGCTCAACATAATAAAGGCCATATGTGACAAACCCACTGCCAGCATCATACTCAATGGGCAAAAACTACAAGCGTTCCCCTTAAGATGGGGAATAAGACAGGGATGTCTGCTTTCACTTTTGTTACTCAACATAGTACTGGAAGTTCTAGACACACCAATCAGATAAGAAAAAATAAAAGTCATCCAAAGTGGAAAGGAAGAAGTAAAACTGTCTTCATTTGCAGATGACACGATACTATATATACAGAACCCCAAAGATTCCACCAAAGAACTGCTAGAACTGATAAATGAATTTAGCGGGAAATTAAGAAAACAATACCATTCACAAGTGCTTGAAAAAGCACTTGAATAAAATACCCAGGAATAAACCTGACCAACAATGTAAAAGACCTGTACTCAGAAAAGTGTAAGACACTGAAGAGAGATATTGAAGAAGAAACAAATAAGTGGAAACACATACCGTGTTCATGGGTAAGACAAAATAACATCATTAAAATGTCCATACTACCAAAGCAATCTATAGATTCAATGCAATATCTATCAAGATTCCAATGATATGTTTCACAGAACTAGAACAAATATTTCAAAAGTTTATGGACCACAAAAGGCCCGGCATAAAACAGTGGACCCTGAAAAAGAAAAACAAAGTTGGAGGAATCATGTTACCCAATGTCAAACTATACAAGGCCATAGTTATTAAAAAAGCCTGGTCCTGGCATAAAAACAGACACAGAGATCACTGGACCAGAATAGAAAGCCCAGAAATAAACCCACACCTTCAGAGTCAATTAATATTCGAGAGAGGAAGCAAGTACATACAATGGTTTGCTAAAGATAGTTTAGTCAATAAATGGTGCTGGGAAAACTGGACAGATATGTCCAGAAAAATGAAACAAGACCAGCCTTTTATACCACACACAAGAATAAATTCAAAATGGATCAAAGACTTGAATGTTAGACCTGAGAACATAAAAATCATAGAAAAAAACACAGGCAGCAAAATTTCAGACACTGCACATAGAAATTTCTTTCAGATATATCTCCCCAAGCAAGGTAAACAAAAGGAAAACAAATGGGAATTCATCAAACTAAAAAGTTTTTGCACAGCAAAGGAAACTTTCAACAAATAAATAGGCAACCTACAAAATGGGAGAAAATAGTCACCAATACATCTGATGGTAGGCAAAGCATAATGACTATCCCCATTTTGTGAATTCAGATATCAAGGCTCAGGGATTTTAGGTTTTGTACCCAAAGTGACAGAATTAGTAAAGAGTGCTCAAAATCTAGGCTTTCTAATTATTTTTCTTATGCCAGGCTACTTTAAATACTTATAGAAGCAGCAGTATATTACAGATAAGAACAGAACACTAAACTAGTAGTATGAAAACCGAGTTTTAAATGTGTTTTTAAAAGTTAGAACCTTAATTTTAATTCTATGGAACAAACACAGACTGCTACTTACTCTCAAAAGGATTTAACTAAGCACCTATCTGCCTGTGTGAGAATTTTTACCAAGCAGTACCAGTCACATTCTCCCCCATGTCCAAATCTCCATTATTGTTTATCTTATGGAAATGAAGAGAGAAGAGATAGACGGTTTAGGTAGCTGCAGACTAGATAAATCTATGTAGCTATTAAGTCATGATTTTTAAAACTATACTCTCTGATACAGCTGGCAACTTAAAAGTTTTGAAGAAATTCTATTTACAAACTTCTGAAACATAGTATTTTGGAATATGTAACATAAAAGGCATGTTCACTTACCGCTGTGGTAGGAGTCTATCGTTAGCCAGGTAGCCTGGTTTGTGAATCTCTTTGCTATAATCTCCGTACTTTGCTTGGACAGCATAGGAAGCCAAAAGGACTGCAGTTTCTGGAGGGCAATATATCTCATCATTTAAGATAGCTTCTTTGACTTGCAAGAAGAAAAGTCTCTGGGTTATTTCTTGAATTAATTCCTCAGAAACATCTTCAGGAAAGAATTTAGCTCTAAATTTGAACTGTAAAGGATTCTCTTTTTTAACATCTTGCTGTGTAACCTGGAACAGTAATTTCAAGTATAATCAACAAAAACCTTAAGTTCAAAATGACTCAATCTAGTCACATCAAATCCTTTTTAGCAAAAAGTAGGATATAAAACATCAGTAAGATTCTAAATCTTTAAGATTCTAACCTTTAAAAAATATATTTGAGAAAAAAGATTCTATGATTACAAAAATGACCTATAACACACAGATCCTATCTAATAAACAAACTGTAACTTGTCTTGAGAAGTTTATTCTATAGATGTTAAAAAAAGTACTAAGTTACACCTAATGATATTTCTTATGTGTTAAGTTTTCAAATAGGAAAGTGAACTTTTCTCTTTCTAAGAAAAGTTGACGCTGCCTTACTGAATTAAAAGACATGACACCTTTAATGATGCACCGAGATAACTGCAAAAGGAAGCAGAAATCAGTCAGACCCTAAGCTTTCCTGGCACAAATTCAAGATCATTAACTTCCAAGTAACTTACTTATTAGCTGAATGTTATTATACATACTTTACCTTTTTATTTAGTTTAAGCCATGTAGAATAACCTTTGCTGTCCACGTACTGCAGCCCAAAAAACCAGACCTCACGCAAACCAACTGTTTTCACCACCTTAAAAAATAAAAGTCCATTTCATTTCAATATTCATACTATAACTAGATGGCATTATACTTCAAAAGAAAAACAAAACTACATAGGTATTATAGATATATTCCATTGTTACAGAGAAGCTCTCTCCTAAATTTAACATGTTAATTAAAGGAATATTTCTAAAAACTTAAGTTCAGGTTTGTATATTAAATTTTACAGTGTCATTTCACGATTGTACTTGATCCATTTTTTATACCTCCTTTTTCTTCTCAATTCCCATTATGATCCCAACAGATAACAAGAAGAGTCTGGGAAAACAAATATAAAGCTGTCATAATCCCATTTTAATATTTCAGTTTACTGCCACAAAAAAAATGCAGACTCATGCAGCCACTGTGGAAAACAGTATGGAGCTTCCTCAAAAAATTAAAAATGAAACTGTCTTATCACCCACCAAGTCCACTTCTGGGTATATATACAAAGAAACCCAAAAGACTAATTCAAAAAAATGTATGTACCCCTAGCCCTGGCTGGCTGGTGTGGCTCAGTGGATTGAGCACCACCCTGTGAACAGAAAAGTCACTGGTTCAATTCCCAGTCAGTGAGAGGCAACTGATCAGTATTCCTCTTTTTCTCCCTCCCTTCTGTACCATTTTGGTGACAGAGTCTCAAAGACATTCGAATGCCATGGCCCAGGTTATCCAGCTGGTGATAACCCCTACTCCTTCCCTTCACTCACCATTACGCATTCTATGTTCTTCCCTCACGGAGCAAGAAACCATTCTGGGAACATGCCATAAATGTTACCCTTCTACAGCTTTGCTCTTGCTTGTTCCTCTGTCTACAATGTTTCTTCTGTACTTTGATGACCTGTTGAATAATTTATTCCTTAAGGCCCAGCTCAACTAACATGCTTCTGTGAATGAAGCTCTGCTATCATTTAAATAAATGAATCACGAATCACTTGTTCCTTGATGTTCCCACAGTACTTTATCTATACTGCTATTAGAACAAGTGCTCTATCATATCATAATTAACTGTATTGACAGTATGTCTAATTCACCTTAATATATATGTCATCTCAAAGAATGCTTAGCCTGTGGTAGGCACTCAAAACTGTTAAGAGCAAATAAAGTGGTAAGCTAGGACTCAGAGCCAGGACTGTACCAATACTTAACAGAGGATATTTTTTTAAATCTATATTTAAAATAAAATGAGAAAATTGAGCAAGAGAAAATGAGAGTCTATTAAAATTTTTAAAGTTTTACAGAAAATTCAATATTAGTTTTTAAGTGGTAAATATTGATTTTTTTTTTTTTTTTTACTTTTAAATCTAACAACATTCCAGGCAGGTGCTCTGTATGGCTCAGTGGGTTGGGTAACACCCAGCAAACTGAAAGGTCACTTTCAATTCCAGTCAGGGCACATGCCTGGGTTGCCAGCCAGGCCCCCAGTTGGGGGCTTTTGTGAAAGGCAATCTATCAATGTTTTTTTCCCTCCTTTCCCCTCTCTCTAAAAATAAATAAATAAAATCTTTTGAAAAAATACCATAAAAATATGCCAGGCTTTTGGTTTTAAGATAGCAAAACTGAAGCCTTCAGTTTGCTTTCCTTCTCTTGAAAAATTTCACTGAAATGATACACACACACACACACACCAGCACCAAATTAAAAAGAGGAAAAGTTATTTAACTGTGCTAAGAAAGGTTACCATAAAAAAATTCCAAAAACTGACAAATTTCTAGATGATCTGGGATACATTGTAAAAACTCATACTGATGCAAAATCGAACCAATGCCAAACAACAGAACTTTCACCCAGATAACTGATCTTTGGCAGCAGAGCCAGAGAAAACATTTCCAGCAGTGAAGGAAATTTACACAGGTCAAGGGCAAGAGAAAAAGTCTATCAAAGTAGCTGGCCTCAGTTTCTGCCTCCAGGCTTTGTGTGATTCACAAAGCTGGCTAAGTAAAAGGGGAGATGCCACAGCAAGCACCCATACTACCACCACAACAAACACCAGGAAGAGCAAGAGCACTCAGCTGTGAAATTCCTGAAGAGGTCCTGGATTTTCAACATCTCTGCCTACTTCTGAAAGTGTTCTCAGAACCTTCGCAAACACATACGTGCACAGGGTGAGGCAAAAGTATGTTTACAGTTATGAGTACACAAAACAGAATTTATTCTTCTATTAATAAGTATTGTACTATTTTCCACAGGAACAACTGTAAACCTATTTTTCCCCATCCTGTATAAGTAAAAAAAATGTTTGGGCACATAACTATAATATATGGATATTTATTTGTAAGTTATTTACATGTTATCATACATATAAAGCACATATTTTTAAAATAACTAAAAGGTGAAAGACAAAAATATAAACATTTTTGTGTTTTTTCTTGCATCCTAACAGATCATGTGGAGCACTCCTTTGGGGTTAAAAATACTGTAATCCTGCAAGTAAAAGCTAAAAGATGAGACTAGTAAAGGAAGAGCTGGCAGTGAACAATGAACGTTAAGAACTCAACTAGAGCCTCCTACACACAGCAGATGGCCTCAAGCCGACATCGTAATTAGAAGAGAGATTTTGCTGCAGGTGGACTCATGTAGCTGTGTTCCCTCATTTGAGACGACCCCCTACCCTCTTGGTCTGCTCCTGGCCTAACCCTGAACCTACCTACCTACCAGCTCACCCCATATACTTGCTATATCCAAGGTAAAGTCTGCTTTTAGATCCTTACACTCAGGCTCTGAGGGAAAGAATGCCAGGAAACAGAACAGTGACTATTAAGAATCGTCAAGAGATAAGAATCCTTAATGTAGACCTTCATTTACAATGACATACAGTATACATGTGTGTGCAGTGTGCATGTACTAAAATACTGTTCTATATACTTTACATGGAATCTCAATTCTCACTTCTAAGGGAGCAATGTTATCATCATCCTAATTGTACAATGAAGAAAAATGAGGCAAATGCAGAAATCTGTCCCAAATTAAACAGCTATAGCTAGGACTCTACTGTAGGCAGGTGCGGCTGCAGAGCTCATATACTACTATACATTACTGTACTATACACTACTACACATTTTAAACTACTATACATTACTATACTATAATAAATGGGGTTTCATTATCCCTGGTATCCAAACTAAAACAATTCTGCTTAATAAACAACAAATTTATTTCTCAGTATCAATACCAATAAGATCCACTTGCTGGTTAGTTTTTGTTACCACAAGAATTTCACTGATTTAAGTAACATTTCAACTTGCTATGAAGTACAATAAACGCTAACTCATTCACATTTTTATTTGAATAAGATAGGCTATATATTTAACAAATAGGAGGTCTAGAAGAATCAACATCAGTGGATATTTATTCACAAGGTAAAACACCCATAATATAGAATGACTGTAGCTGCTTATAATTTTGCTTTAAAAATTTGCTCACATACACACAGAAAAAGCCTTTCATCTTCCAAAAAGACATTATCAGGGCTTTGAGATCATTAATTACCTAATCAGGAGATTAAGTGTACCACTTTTTCAAGAAGAGAAACAATTTTCCAGGAATTTTAAATTTGTATTGCATTATATTTGGATCAGTATGTGATAGAATGACACCTATTAAAACCAAGGGAGGTAATAGATTATTTACTGCTGTAACACAAGAAACTTTCTCCCTCATTCTCTAAGGCAGTGATTTTCAAATTTTTTTATCTCACAGCACACATAAACTACTTACTAAAATTCTGCAGCACACCAAAATATGTATTTTGCCAATATGACAAAAATAAGGTATAATTTTTTTAATTTTATTGATTTTAGAGAGGGGGTGGAGAGAGAAACAGAGTGGGGAGGAGGTGGGAGGGGGCAGAGGAGAGAGAGAAAGAGACAGAGAGAGAAGAAAACATTGATTTGTTGCTCCACCCATTCATACATTCATTAGTTGATTTTTGTATGTGCCCTGACTAGGGATCAAAGCCAAAACCTTGGCATATCAGGATGATCCTCTAAGCAACTGAGCTACCCAGCCAGGGCAAAATAGTAATAATTTTGATTCCCTTTCTCTGGATGGCTACTGTTGTGTTAGACGCCATTTTTTAATTGACAATTTAAGGGAAAAGGGGTCAGTGCCCCTGACTAAATAGTCAGGTACAGCATGTTTTAAAAATTCTTGCAGCACACCAGCTGAAAATCACTGCTCTAAGGCCAAGTTAATCTGACCACAGACTATTGCTCTCTTGCTCGGGCCATGCAAGATACATCACTTTCCTCCTCTCTGCAATTAACAACTCACTTTAATCACCTGACCCTGGACAACAATCTCTTTTTCCTCCTTTTCTCAATAAAACTTATTACTCAGAACATTGCATACAGCATTACCTGAGGAGCTTAAACTTAAAAAAAAAAACAAAAACAAAACTAGTGGTTTAAATCCACTGAGCTACACCTGGCTGGTGTAGCTCAGTGGATTGAGCACAGGCCTGTGAACCACACGAACGCAGTTCGTATTCCCAGTCAGGGCACGTGCCTGGGTTGCAGGCCAGTTCCCAGCAGGGGACTCATGAGAGGCTACCACACATTGATATTTCTCTCTCTCTCTCCTTCCCTTCCCCTCTAAAGATAAATAAATAAAATCTTTTAAAAAAACTTAGAGTAGGCCCCAGATAATAAAATTGGAATTTCTGGAGGTAGTTTCCATGCACTGTCCATACCCCCCCCCCTTTTTAAACCACAGGTGACTAAAATGTGCACTCAGGAGAGAAAAAAAGACAAAAATCAGTAATCCAAGTGTTTTAACATGACATTCAAGGCTAGCAAACAAGCCTATGACACTGAAGTGTCATTTGGTGCCTACTTACAGCTATAATTCCCTGTGTCTTTGCTCCTGCCACCCCACCCCATTTGTCTAGAATATGCACCCATTCCACTACGTGCGGTGTCTCAGATTTCCTTTTAGCCTTCACTACAATGATCTGCACAGCAGATATAAATACAATATGGATGGATCTTGAGAATATTAGACTAAGCAAAGTAAGTCTGTCAGAAAAAGCTAAAAAACCATATAATTCACTCATATATGGGATATAAAACTGAAACTCATACACAACAGCATGGCGGTTACCAGAGGGAAGAGGCTGGAGGAGTAGTAAAGGGTCAAGGGGGCCAAATACATGGTGACAGAAGATGATCTGCCTTAGGTGGTGAGCACACAATTTAATATACAGATCATGTATCAGAGAAATATATACCTGAAACCTGTATGTTCCAATGAACCAATGTCACCCCAATAAATTTAATAATAAAAAAGGTAAAGGGATTAAGAACTACCAATTAGTAGTTATAGAACAGTCCTGGGGATGCAAAGTACAGCACAAGGAATATAATCAATAATATTATAATAACTTTGTACAGTGCCAGGTGGGTACTTGAAATATTGAGGGGAACACAAGCTGCTAATATTTCTTTTTTAAATCCTACCCCACAAATCTAGGAATGAGAAGGAATACCTAATATTTACACAGCTGTTCAAGATACCTGAATAGGTACTGTGAAAAATTCCAGTGGTACTGTGAAAAATTCCAGTGCTACAATGTTGCACTATCAGTAAAGGTCTAGAAAAACAGAAAGAAGTGCAATAGTATAGATACTATGGTGTCAAAAGTTGCATAGTTCATCTGGTTAAATGATACCTGGTCAAAAAGTTGTTTGCCAGTTGTATTGGGCTGGATGGCAAATTCCAGCTCAGCATCCATTGTGGTTACTCTTACGTTGATCTATAATAAAAATGAAAGAAATAATCAGTAGGAAAGAGAATACACTTTCAAAAATTTTTTGTTTTAGAGAGAGGGGAAAAGGAGGGAGAAGAGAAGTCAAGAAACATTGATGTGTAAGAGAAACACCAATTGGTTGCCTTGGCCTGCAACACCAATGCTGTAGGTATCAAACTGGCAACCTTTTGTTCTGCAGGACAACGCTCAACCAACTGAGCCATACCAGTCAGGGCAGAATACACTTATTATTAGGCAAGAGAAAATACTTTTATCTGATCTCTTAAATAAAGTGATATAATATGCAGGCAGTAAAGAGCAAATGTATAACTATATCTAGTAGTTTCTTTTATAGATAAAGTGATAAGGTTTGACTTTAATTATAGAAAACCTTAAATCTACTTGCAAAACAAACATCTTATGAAGTCTCCTTTTAAGAACTTTTATGAATTCCTAACAGACACTAAGCCATGAGTTTTCCATTTTCTCATGTAGCCCCTGCAACAATACTAAGAGATATGCACATTTCTATAGAAACTGAAAGAGTCCCCATTATGTGCACAATGACACATAAATATCAAATGCATGGCAGGTATTTAAACTGAGGTATAACTTGGAATTTTTTAATGTCATTCACTATCTCATATTTCTTTAAACACAAAAATCAAAGTTTTATTTATACTGCAAATGTATTCTTCACTTTATAAAAAATATTCATCCTACCCTTTGTTAGATTCTATTTTAAACTCTTAACTTTTTTATGTGTAAATACCTTTCTAGTTGGATTTTCTTACCAAAAATGTAACATGCCTTGACCAAAATAATTTTAAATCCAGAGTAGCATCTTTACTTAGAATTCACAATGATGTGATACAAATATATCTTTTAAACTTTAACTCCACTATTTGCCTCTAAGTCAGACTTACTTCTCCTTACATCTTTTACTCATTCTAACAACCATAACTTGTATATATAGATCTTCTACCTTCTCTAAATCAAATAAATCTTATAGATCATTCCTTCTTTAAAGTAATATTTATTAGGAACTATTGATATACATAAAATACATGTGACATATGTAAATAATAAAACATAATAAAATAAAACCAATTGTGACATAATAAGAAATACATTATGTGGACCAAATACCTTATTTGGTCTTCATCCTGGTTCCTGCAAGAGCTCCTAAAGTTCTTAGAATTTCCTAGGAGATGTGAGGAGCATGTTTCGTTACTCATAATAAGCCCCTTTCATACGTACCAGAGTTTATGCTAATGAGTGGGCTCTAGATGGAATCTTAAATAGCATCACTATGGGGGTGGAGGGGTGTTAGCCTAAGAAACCAACTATGTGATTAGAAGAACCAACCGTGTTATTACAGCCACACCCTAACCTTCAGGAAGGAGAGTAGGAATTGAGTTCATCATCATTGGTCAATGATTTAATCAATTGTGTCTACATAATGAAAGTTTCATAAAAACCCAAAATGAAGGGGTTCAGCACACTTCCAAGTTGGTGAATGCACCCACATGCAAAGAAGATGGTACACCAAATTCTAAAAGGACAGAAGCTCCGGTGCTTAGGACTGTTCTGGACCATACCCTTTGCATCTCCCTTCTCTTGTAACCTTTATATTAACCAGTACTAGTAAGTAAAGTGTTTCTCTGAAATCTGTGAGCTACTATAACAAATTATAGAAATGGAGTAGGGAATCATAGAAATCCCCAATTTGTAGCCAAATTAAGTAAAAGTGTACATACCCTGGGATCTACTACTTGTGACTGGTGTCTAAAGGGTGCAAGGCAGTCTTAAGGGGCTCAACCACTAACCTGACAAGTCTCTGCTTAACTCCAGGTAGCTGGTGTCAGAATGAATTAAATTACAGGACACACAATCGGTATCCACCTAGAATTGGAGAATTGCTGGATATGAAAAACCCACATGTTCAGAGTCAGAAATTTTGTGAGTAAAGTTTTCATTTACCCATAAATCTGTCATTATCCCTTAACAAGAAATGACAAGTATTGCCTATATCAGTGTATTTCTTCTTTATCAATTTCCCTGTCCCCAATTCCCCACAGGTAAGCACTGATGTAAATTATGTGTTTATCATTCTGTTGCTTTTTTAAAAAAGCACAGTTCTATCACAAATGTAGGTATCTATATGTAAAGTTAGTTTTTCTTGTAAAATTTCACTTTTCTTGATTTTTAACTTGAATATTAAAATTATACAGTACTTACTAATGAAGTATTCTTTCTTGATGTGGGCAATGGTTACATGAGTATATTTTCTGAAAATGCATAAACTCATGATATATTTGATAAAAAGAGTTAACAAAAATTATATCACACTGTAGTTTGCTTTTCCACGATTATAATACTAAGATTCACTGATGTTTTTGAGTAGTTTTTATTACTATAGAATCTACGTTAGCCAATAATTTATTTACCCATTTTTCTGTCAATAGACAGTTTCCAATTTTTACCGTTAAGAATAATACTGCTATGAATATTCTTATACATATCTCCTAGTGCCTGTGTACCTAGACCAGTTTCTCTAGAAGTATATACCGCATTTTCTGGACTATAAGATGCACTCCCCCCCCAAATCTGGGAGGAATAATGATTGTTAATGCTGCTGCTGAGTCCTGTTTACATTTCCATTGGTGAAATATTATGTTATTTATGTTATTAAATATTTTACCACATTTTTTGCCTCAAAATTCTTCCCCTATTTTCCTCCTCTAAAACCTAGGTGCATTTTATGGTCTGAAAAATATAGTACTCAGAAGAATTCCTGGGTAATAAATTATGCATATCTTTAACTTTACCGTGTAATGCTAAATTGTCTTCCGACATGACAGTATCAACTTAAATTCTCATCAACAGTGTGTAAGAATTCCTGCTGATCTGTATTTTCACCAATAGTGGGTATTAACAGATTTTTTAAATGTTTGACAATATAGTGGATGTAAATGATATTTCAATATGGTCTTAACGTGCAGACCCCTGGCTCCTAATGAGGCTGAGACATTTTCCTATGGGTGGGATGCAAAATTCTAAGATGGCCCCCAGAATCTCCTTCCTGGTGTTACTCTCAGGATTCAGTTACATGGCAAAGGGGATTTTGCAGATATCCTTAAGGATACTAGTAAATTGAACTTAAAATAGAAAGATTATGTGCCTGGGCCTAAGCTAATCATGTGAACCCTTTACAAGCAAAGCATTTTCTCTGAGTGGTTATACAAGTCAGAGAGATTCAAAATTCGGAGAGGAATTTTGACACAATATTTCAAAATTCAGAGAGGAATTTTGACACAAATCTCTTCTCTTTGACATAAAAGAAGGTTCTCCACTGCCAAACTGGTAGGGTCAGGGGGCAAGAACCTGACACCAGCCCCTAGGAGCTAAAAGTGACCCTTGACCAACAGCTAGCAAGAAGATGGGATCTTCATCCTCCAATTTAAAAAAATCATCATTTTGCAAGGAAATCAATTGTCCCAATGAAAGGAATGAGCCTGGAAAAGAACCCCAAGCTCCAGATGAGAAGACAGCTGAGCTAAATCTTGATTTCAGGCTAGTGAAACCCTGAGCAGAGAATCCACTCATGTCACCCCATACTGCTGACCTACAAAACTAAAAGGTATAAATGGATGTTGTTTTAACTATTAAAATTGCAGCAATTTTTTATAGAGCAACATAAAACCAATACAGTATGTTTATTAACTACTCGGTCTCATCATCTTTGAAATGTGTTTTTGTCTACTGCTTATTTTTCTACTTGCGTTGTCTTTTTCTTACTCCTATGTAGGAAATCTTTACACATCCTAGGTACTTTGTCAATTATTTGTGTTACAAAAACGGTTTTCTACAAGTTAGAAGTTGGTCATTCTACTTTATAAAGTGCCCTTCTTTACAGTAAACATATCCTTAATTTTAATATTGAATTTATCAATGTTTACATAGTTTTTGTGCTATATTTAAGAAATATTTCTCCACTCCAAAATCAGGATATTAACTAATCAATACACATTTAATATTTTCCTACTAAAGTTTTCTTTTTCATAAGTTGTCTTCAATGATTTTTGCTTATGATCTGAAGAAGTACGATTTCATTCTTTAATCCCCATTAGGATAAAGATATGGAGATATAATATATCCAAACAATGTATACTGATTAATTGAGTCATACCACAAAGATGACTGTCACAAATCAAATGTCTACAGGTACGGGTCTGAATCTGTAATAATTCTGTTGCATTGGTCACTTTAACCATTCTGCCAATACTTACTGTCTTAATTACTGTATCTTTAAATAAGTCTTGATATCTGGTACAACAAGTCTCCTTTCATTATCTTCAGAATTATTTAAACTATTCTTAGCTTTCTGTTCTTCCTCTTGGCTCCATATAAAATTGTAAACTTTTCATTATAAATCATAATATGCTATCATGATTTACACTGGAACCACACTAAATTCATTAACACAATGAATTCTCTTGGGGTAATGACAAGTTTTCAGTACTGACTCTCCTATCCATGTCTATGATTCTCTCTGAGAATTTAGGTCTTCTTTAATGTCTTTCAAAAAAGTATTTACAAATTTCTCCATAAAAATCTTATTAACCATTTGTTAAGATATCTTTCTCCTAGTTCATTATGGTTTCATAGCTATTATAAATACAGGCCCACAATCCCCTGACATCCTAAAAATATTAAAATTGAAGTTATTAGCTAATTTCTAGAAAAAAATTGTCTTGGAGTAATAATGAAACTAACTAGTGAATTAATTCACCCCACTTCTAATGAATATTCACAGACTGATCTACAGAAGTATTGGTTTTGAGGTAGTACAACACACAACAAAAGTTTCATAATGCACATAATGATAATGGTACATACACATAAAGTGATAATGGCATGTACACATAAATATGGTATATTATCTTTCTACAACCCCCAAAAATCCAAAATACTAAAACTCACCTAGCTTAAAGGGTTTCAAATACAGGATTGTGAAAATTATGAAATACCTTTACAATTCTTTGTGGTTTTGCTTCTATAGAAATACAATTGGTTTTTAATCAATCCTTTTACCAGTTGCCTTGCCAACTATTACAATAAGCCTGTAAATCTATTTACATAAACCAGGGGCCAAAAAACTCTTCCTGTAAAGGAACCAACAGTAAATATTTTAGGCTTTGTGGACCATACAGCCTGCTGCATCTACTCAGCTATGCTACTATAGCAACAAAGCAGTTATAGATAATGAAGCATACTATGTTCCAATAAAACTTTATACACTGAAATTTGAATTTCATATAATTTTCACATGTAAAATATTATTCTTTTGATTTTTTTCCAACATTGAAAATGTAAAACCATTCTTAGTTTACAGGCTATACAAAAACATGTGGCAAGCTAAACTGGGTCTATGGGCTGGCCATACTTTGACAGTACCTTACATTAAAAAAGAATCTTAACATCTTTGTTAGGTAGGATAGGTAGCAAACCAAGGCAGGGAGGAGGAGAGAAACATGTCTCACCCACTAACTCAGCAGTCCTGAGCCTGGTCTGATAATACTGCCAGGTGTTCCAACTCCACAAGAAACACCAAGCTAACATGGGAGGGCAGCCCCTGAAATTCTATGAATCTTCTCCACTATCTGGGAACAAAAACCTTTGAAACTGTGCTTCCACCCTAAGGCCTGAAAGGCAGGAGAGGGTCCACAGTGCCCAAAGGAAGAAGCCCATAAAACAACTTTGGTTAATTGCCTATGTCTGGTCACTATCTGTTTTATGAGGGAGTCTCTAATGCTTATAGAAAGAAGTCCATCAATAACTTTGGGTAACTGCCCAATTTTAATTAACTGCCTTCTGTTACATATCTGTCTTATAAAACGTATAAATGGAGTCTGGAGCGAGATAAAAGATCTGGACTAACAGACCCCTACACATACCTAAGTTTGGGTAGTCACATCCCCCCAGGAAAGCTGGCACCACTTTTACCTGTCAATCAATATGTAACTTCTTCACCCTCATCCAACCAACTACATGAATCCTCAGAACAAAGGACTCTAGCTCTTTGATGTCTGACCACAGGCCTCAGGCCACCTTTGACCCACCTTTGACCCTGTTTTGCCTGTGTCTTTCACCCCCCACCTTAGCTAGGCCTGCTCTATTCCATGAGAATGAATCACCAATAAACCCACTTACATGCTAACAGATTTGCTGATCTATAATTCTTTACTGTGTCAGCAAGGAGAACTGAGTTTCTGCGAGTTTCTCCCATAACACCTTCAAAACATTGTTTTTCCTTTCCAGTTCATGAGCTTTTTTTTGACCTTTTTTTCTGCACACTGTTGGTTTTTCTGTTCATTGTTGAAGAGCAACAGTGATAGTGTGTATCTTTTATCCTGTTCCTGATTTTAAAAGAAATGCTTCCATTGTTAACACATTAACAGCTTTTGCTGTAGCTTTTCTTCTATACCTAGCTTCATAGTATTGGTTTTTGTTTTTTAAATCATGAATAGTTCAATTTTAGCAACTGCTCTCTCTAAATTTATCATATCATACAATTTTTCTCTTTCAAGCTAACTATAATTGTGATACAAAATGCTTATTATCTGACCACCAAAAATGTAAAAAATTAGTTGGACATATGGCTACTGAGTTACAGAACAATGTCTCTTGCTAAAAAGATATGGCTATCTGACTAAGCTCTTGCCCACAAAGCATGAGCAGAGGAGATACAGGCCACTTCCAGACTGAGGCATAAAATAGTTAACATGCTTCCCTATGGTTTTTCCTCCCTTCCTGCTGGCTGCAACCCAATATAGCCAAAATTCACCTTCAATTACAAAAAAACAGTAATGCCCTAAGCCAGAAGTCCTCAAACTTCCTCTTTATATTCTTAAAAATTACAAAACATCCCAAAATACTTTTGTTTAGTGGGTTATCTATCATCATATACCACATTAGAATATAAAACTGAGAAAATTTAAAGATATTAATTCACTTAAATGTAACAAGAATAAAGCTATTAGATATTAACATAAATGACAAATACAAATATCACATCAATATCTTTAACATAAAAGCACTAAATTTTTAACATAAAAGCACTATAAGGCAACTTTTAAAGCCTTTTTCATTTCATCCTAGTAGTAATTCTCAGAAGTGATCAGAGCACATTATTAAATAAACTTTATTTTACAGTTAAAAAAACATCTACAGAAGTTGTCACTTGGCCTAGGTTACGTATCTACTCAGCATAAAGCTGGGCCAACAAGATCAGTGTAAAATATAAAGATCAAATTAAATTTCTCCATGCCTGCATTCTGAAATACTGAACTTTCTTCTTTTTCATTTTTGGGATAGTGGAGAGCAGGGGTGACTAAATTAAACACTGAGCTAAAAAGTTTAAAGGAAAAAAATTACTTTTTTTTCCTTTAAATACATTACTTTTAATAGCTTAAAACATTTTCTTCCAGAATTTTTATGCATTAACAACACATAGTTTATACCCAGCTGTATGTACAATTTTGAATTCTTATCCTAAGGAACAATCTCCACTCAATTACATTGACAAAAAGAGTTTTCCAAAGCAGTTGCAAACTTCCACATTCCTCTGAGAAATATATTAGAGTTCCAGTTGATCACATACTTATTACCAACTTATCACACACTTAATACCATCAGTCTTCAATTTTAGCCCTTCTAATGAGTACAAGTTGTATCTCATATAGTTTTAATATGTGTTTCCCTTATAACTAAAGATATTGAGGATCTTTTCAAGTGTTTATTTTGGCCATTAATATATGTTCTCTTGTGAAGTATTTGTTCAAAGATTTTTCCCACTTTTAAAAAACTTGTTGAGTTCTATAAAAACTTTATGTTGGAACTATTCTTTCCCATTCTACCTTACCATTTTTCTTATTACTGTTTTTAATTTTGATGAAATCCAATTTCCTTAATGGTTCAAACATTCTGTGTTCTTTAAAAAACTCTGCCTACCTGAAGGTCACAAAAATGTTTCCTCATGTTTTCTTCAGAAGTTTTATAATCTGGGCATTTGCATTTAGGTCTATGATCCATTTAGAGATAATTTTTTATGTAATGACAGTATGAAATAAGGGTTTATGTTCATGCTTCTCTGTATGGATAAGTTTTTGTTCCAATACCATCTGTTGGAAACAATTTAATTTTCTCCTTGAATTCTGTGATAACCTTGTTGAAAATAAAAGTATTTTCATTATAACATATGTGTGTAGTTATACTTTTGTTCATTAATTCTATTAGCTATCCTTTCAATAGTACCACCCTTTCTTATTTTTATAGCTTGTGAATAAATCTTGAAATTCAGGAGTGCTAAAGTTTTCCAACTTTGTTCTTTTTAAAAATTGCTTTAGCTATTTGATATAAATTTTGGTTTGGATTTACAACCAATCGGCTAGTCAATTTTAGTCAAAGAAGCCCGCTAAGATTTAACTGATTGGAATTGCAATCAATCTACCACTACATTTAAGGAGAAGTGACATCCTAATGTTTTCTAGACATATCTAGACAATATACATTTATCTGTTTATTTAGGTCTTTAGTTTCCTAGAATTTTTCAGTATAGAAATCATGTACAGATTCTGTAAGTTTATTTCTAAGTATTTTATGTCTTTGATGCTGTTACAAGTAATTTTTTAAATTTTGCTGCTAGTATATATAAAAGACAACCGTTTTTTTTTACATGTAACCTTCTGTCCAACCATCTTGAATTCAATTATTAGTTTTAGTAATGGCAAATAGAAAAATTTACTTCTTCCTTTCTGATGGTTATGACTTTTATTTTTTTTTTATTCTTCTCTCCCTCAAACAATGCACACTTTGTTATCTGCTAAGTCTTTAAAGTAATGCCAGAGTGATATGCATGCCAGAAAATTCCAGTAACAATAACCAATAATTTTTTAAAAAATATAACTGTCCAAAAGAAAATTATTGAAAAAAAACCCCGAAGTTTGTTAGATAAAGAACATTTATCTTAAGACAAAAGGCATAAGACTTAGTCAAGAACTACATTAATATAAAGCTAAGTAAAATGAACACACGTGTACCCTTAAGTAAAAAAAAATTTAAGACTATATATCAGCAGTGGTATCACCAACATCAAAGCCAGGACTATGAGACAAATATTAACGCATGAACCTCTCATTCCTCCTTTTAACAATAAGTTGTTATTTACTATACTGAATGTATACCAACTTCTCCTAATGCTCACCATATATATCTCCATTTTATATATGAGGAAATTAAGAAGTGGAGAGACTGAACTAACCTAACAAATGCACTCTAAGTAGCAGATCCAGGACAAAAATTGGACAGTTTGATCCTAGAACCTATAAATTTTCATCTTAAAGACAATGTTACATATACCTCTTCTTCACTGGCCTACATAATACTGCACTCTAGCAACATCAGTCTAAAATAAGTAACAGTAACACCAGTGTCTTTTCTTCCCAACAACTCTACCGTAACACTTGGTCTTATTCCAAAAGGAACTCAATGCTATGTAAGTAGTGGCAAAAAGTAAAATAAAATAAATATACTTACTGGTTTAGGCATTTTCTTTCTTTTTGTCACCTTCTTTAAAAATTCTTCACTCTTGTAAGTTCTGTTGTCACCTTCTGTAAAGAAAAAGAAAGCATAATTGATCTATTATATTTTAATGCTTTTATTTAAACATATGTAGAGAATAAAATTTAAATTTAAACATTTTATTTATCTTTTATTTTTTTAATTTTTATTGAATTTTGGGGGGTAACTAGTTGATAAATTATGTGTTTCAGGTGTATAATTCTAAAAAATTAAAACATTTTAAAATGTCAGTTTAAAGAAACAACTCTCATTTTATTGTAATTTTCTGTTTTCTACTATTTCACATTCTATAAAAATATTTATAGCTGTGAGTTAAAATAGCATGAGTCCCAAATAACATAACAGTATAAAGCATATTGATCACCACTAACACTTTAATTAAGAGAACACACAGCAAGGAAACAAGGGCCCCAATGCTGTCAGTTGAGTCAGATGCACCTGCAAGACCCAGGCTGGCAGACACAGAGATAAAGTTGAGGATAGGTGGATTCAAAGTCTAAAGAAATGAGTTCAAAAATACTTTTCAACCTTTTTCCTGTTCTTTCAAAGACAAAGGAAATCTGACTAATGTAAACTGTGGAAGATAACTCTATAAAAAATATTTTTTCCTCCTCAAAGTTGAAAAACCCAAGTAGAGAAAATACACAAGTAGCTTATTCACCCAAAATGTACAAAATGGCCATAGTCTGCACAATAGCAATCTGCATGCTACTCATCAGCAAGTTAGTGGCCTTCACTGAAATGCAGACAAAACCAGTGTTAAATTATATCGTCTCCCCCTTTGTCAACAGAAGTGAATCCTAATTCAGAAAAACCATCATTCTGTCGTCTTAGGGCAACTGTTCATACAAACATCTAACAAAAGTGGTTGTCCTCCCACAAATCTACCTAAAGATCAAACAGTCTTAATCATTATTCCCTTTCCAGGAAAAAATGACTGTAATTCCAATTTGAAAACCTACGGTGAGAACGATATTAAATAAATTATTACTTGAAGATCAGCTTATTTTGGGAGTATCTCTGCCAAGAAACTTTTATTCATTACACTAGCTTCAACTAAATTAATCTACAACTAAATTTCATATTTAAAACTACATTGTTTTTAAGATTTATAATTAATAAGACTGAAAATTCTTCAAATTGAATAAAATTAAAGCATTGAAACTAAGGTCATTTTCCTAAATTTTACTCAATCACATGCCAATAAACCTCTCTACAGAGAGGGAACTTCCAAGTTTTTAATCTAATACACTGGGCTGGGAAATTCAGTTGAAAGTATTAAACTTCTCATTTCCTAACTCTTATCATCTCCTTAACTCTTAGCTAGGAAATGGTTGATAGATATTCCCTTCCTATAGTCATCTACTTTCACGAACCTAAGTATATTTCAGTTCTATCTTTTAATTCCATATCCTCTTAGTCCCACTTGCATTGCCTTAGTTTAGATCTCTCTCATCTCTGGTCTTAAAACAGCTTCCAAATGGACCTGCTTTAAACATCTATAAGCCAGTAACTCCAAAATCTTGGTTGTACATATGTCCAAAACTTGCTTGGCTAACTTGGCTTGGTCAGCATATGAAGATTATCTCAAATATAACATGGCCGAAATACTTAAATCCTTATTGTATAAGTGAATCTGCTTTCCTATAAAAGTCTTGGTGATATATTTCTAGAAAGTTATTCACTATATTCTCATGAATTTTTTATATCTCTACTACATCTGCAGGTATAATCCTCACATCATTTCCCTTTCTGCCTTCCCTTTTAATTAATTTTGGTATAAGTTTGTTTGGTTTATTGGTCTAAAAGCCAGCTTTCATTTTTTATTTTGTTTCTTATATTTTTCTTTTGTTAATTTCTGTCCTTTTCACCATCATTTTCCTTGTCACTTGTTGGCTTTACTCTGTGGCCTACTTTCTAATGGATCCCTAAAACTCAAAAGTTACTGCCTAAGTAATTTCCAGTCATTTTTCTTTTGTAATATGTGCTTTAAGGTCATTAACTAAGTATGTCCAAGGTTAAGATAACTCCAAATATAAAATGATCTTCCCATTTTGCCTGTTAGAATATTTAAAAATAATCTGTATCTGAATATGTAAAATAGCCAAATGTATATACATTTATTAGTATACTTAAATATTAAAACACATGATCTACAAAATATTAATTCAGATTATTGTCTGCTTCATCTCATGTCACAAAATACTTTTCTTCAAACTCCTAACATATGACACATGAATGTATCAAAACTTTGAGTCACAGTAAATTTTCCAGTTACATAACCACTTTTTGAATCAGTACATTATACAATCATTGAAATTTTTATTCTAAGCCACAACTACCCATTTAAATAAAATATTAGAGGACTTTTTCCCTATTTGTACCCTTGGTATATATTTTAACATCTATAATGTAGCCAGAGTCTATTATTTTTAAGTAATTTTTAAAATCATCACCCAATGATATGTTTTTCTTGATTTTAGATACACTGATGGGTTTCCTCCCCACATCTACCACCTTCCTGCATGTGCTCAGTCCAGGAACCTGCAACCTGAGTATGTGCCCTGACAGGGGATCAAACCTACAACCTTCTGGTGTAAGGGACGAAGCTCCAAACCAATTGAACCACCACCCAGGGTTTAAGTGATTTTTTTTTAACATCAGATCTGTGCTAGATTTCTTTGTCTCTTATCTGATGAGCTCTGAGCTTTCCATACTCACATGTACTAAAAGGCACTTCAGGTCAATGTGCCCATCTTGAACTTTCATGTTCAAGAAAAGAGAATATGAGAATTGCAATTAAAGAGTTCCTAAGAACACAAATTTAAATACCTTTTTCTGAAAAATATTTTTTTGACAAAATATCTTACCTTCTATTTGAATCCACAGAATTTTTCTCAGTCACTACAGTGGTTTCCCCCACAGGTGGTTTATATGTAATATTTCACTATTGTTTAGCTCTGTTTCATTTTCTAAGTATGATTTCTAATCACTACTAAGAATTTTTTAAGTTTTAAAATGAAATGGTGAGGCCTGGGGGCAGAATACTATCTTTTTATCATTTATTTCTAAGCTTACTACAGGTACAGTAAAAAAATTCATTTAGATTTCCTTTATGTTTAGTACCTGGCCAGTTTAGTTTCTTTTTTTGACTGCTCCAAATATAAATAAAATGTATTTTCTGCACTTGATAAGCTAGATCAATCTAGACCAGTATTTAATGTTTTGTTTACTGTCTCTACTATCATTCATTTTAGTCTATTTAATCAATTTGAAGAAAATGGATTAAATTTTCCCAAGTACGATTGCGGATGTTAATTTCTTCTGGTTGACTGCCATTTTTTAAAGATTTTATTGATTTACTTTTTAGAGAAGGGGAAGGAGTGATAAAGAGAGGGAGAGAAACATCAATGTATGGTTGCCTCTAGTACGCCCCCAACTGGGGATCTGGCCATAACCTGGGTATGTGCCCTGACAGGGAATCAAATCAGCAAACCTTTGATTTGCAGGCGAGCACTCAACCACTGAGCCACACCAGCCAGGGCAGATTGCCATTTTTAATTTTTATGCTTTTGGCTATGTTATTCAGTTAGCACAGGTTTACAACTGTTACACTTTTCCAGTGAATACTTTCTTTTTAATTTATAATTTAATTGCATATAGAACTCCACGCTGATGGTGTTATTCCCTCAGTATTCAGATGATATTTTTCTGGGATCTGTTACTGCTGATGAGAAGTGAGGTGTCAATCTAACTCACTCCTCTGAGGCAACATGACTTTCTTCTTTGCTTTCTTTTTTTTTTAAATTTTAAGATGGGGGTGTTCTTCAGATTTACTTCTACTATTTATTTTGTTCAGGATTTGGCAAACTTCCTTAATCTGACAACTTACACTTTTTATAAATTCTGAAAACATATTAGTCATTGTTTCCCATTTTTTCTTTTTGTTCGGCAATTTTTTTATATACATACTGAGTATCTTATTCCCTAACCATTCCTAGTTTTTCAGATTTTCCTTCTTTTTATCTCTCTGCAGAACATTCCTCCAATCACTAATTCTCCCCACTTGTTTTTAATGTCCATGGGTTTAATATACCATAATAATATTATTTTTTAATTCCAGAAATTCCTTTTTTCACTTTAAAAAATGTTCATTAATAATACCATATTATTTTATTGTACAATTTGTTTTGAATCCTTTTATCCCTATAATGCTTATTTTATGTCACTATATTATTATTTTACTCTTTTCAGTTCATTATAGCTTACTTTTTATAGTTTGTAATTTTGGACAGAAAGCCCATGTCCTTTGCCAATGTGGGAGTCTCACAAGCCTTGAGTTGTGTATGTGTCCTACAAAGGTATTTCAGATTTGCTCCTTCCATAGTGCAATATATTTTAATTGTCCTAGACCCACTTTTACATTTTCTCGATTCGACATTCCATTATCATATGAGGCCCCACGACCACACCGTAGAGAAGTTAGCAAAGACTGCTCGGGTACTGATCACAGGCAATCCCTCTCTCATCGGGAACAAAGCACACAAAGTGAGCAGTAAACATATGCCAGGGTATAAGCGAAGTTAAAGCACTCGAATTATAGAAGTCCCATTTATCAAACACAGGGCTAGTTAGGCAGATAATTATGTTGCTCTGCAGAATTTCTGAAGCTATGCATTACTCAAATATTAGAACTAAATAAAGGTGCAGTTTTTTTTTCTGTTTAAGAAATAAGTTATCCAAGTTTTTAATAGAGTTACTTAAAGTTATACTCTATAGAAAAAGACTTTCAAGCAAAACAATCTATCATTAAAGTTTCAGGTTTAAAAAGAGAGCTCTGCCAACATAAAGAAAATATTATAGATCAATACATATAAAACCATGTTTTTATATCAGCTAATTAAGTTTTTTACATTTCCCAAAAGCCTAACTATCAGGACTTAACCAAAGTCTTTGCAAAGACAGATATGATTAACTTCTAAAAGAAGCTTCTAAAAATGTTTCTCTTCAGACCAGAGTTCTCTCTTAA